GAGTGCGAGAGAGAGAGAGACGGGGATGGAAGAAGGAACCTGAACGAAGATCCTGTTGAAAGAGTACTTCTGCTTGAGGACGAGCGTTCTGTTCGTTCAAGCAACAGGGACGACGATCCTGCTGTAAGAGGATCTATACTTCTGCTGGAGAACGGTTCGGTTGGTGTGTTAAACGGAGGGAGAAACAGGGACGACGATTCAGAGAGAAAGATGGTTCTGTTTAATAATGTTAAACTTTAACAAATAATTTGTTTTCAACGTTTCAAACTTTGACACTTATAATTAGTTTTTAAACGTGTTAATATTTTTATTATAAAAAATTAGTGAAATAAAAATGATTTTAATAAAAACATTATTTAGCAAAAAAAAAAAAAAAAAAAAAAAAAAAAAAAAAACCTTTAAACACTAGTATAAGTGTTCTACACGAAATCATATTAAATTGATGATGACTGCTTCTTCTTTTTTTTTGGTAGAACCAGCGCAATTATGTCCTATGACCAATTACAATTTTCATCCTCAATCTTGATTGTGTCCACTCTACATACTCAATCTGTTTTTTTTTTTTGAACAAACTCAATCTGTTTCAACAAGAAGTATTTTTTTTAATACATTTTGGAAACTCTTCTTTTTCCCCTATATCCACATTACACACACTATCCCAAAAACCATTAGATATATAAATTGCTTCTTTGCGACATGTAATATATCTACACCTTGTTCTCTGTTTGACTAAACTCTCAACACCAGATGAAGTAAGTAAGGCGATGAAATGATAAAGCCCTAGTGTGTACATACCATGTTAACCCACAGAGAGCCAGGTTCAGTAAACAAACAACATTGAAGACTTAATCCTTTTTCTATTTTTCTCCATCATCTTCCTTTTCTACCAGAGACTTGTCTTTTTTCACAGCTCCAACAGAGACTAAGAACTGATCAAGCGAAGAGAGAGTTCTCATATCGTCCGGAGGAAAATAGCTCGCAGCTTTTCCCATTAGCGACGTGAAGATAAGAGAGAGCGAAGGCCGAGTTACATATCTTTCCCCTAGAAGATCATCTAGGAATCCAAATGCAGCTAGAAACTCTGATCTTCCTGCGTTTATTGGAGCTTCGAAATGAGCTGGGATTATCCTTTTAAATCTCCAGTCACGGGCTATCTCATCTATCCAATCCCTCACCTGAAACATTAGTGATGAACGAATCAAAACAAACCAGTTTGGACCAAAAAAGTTAACAAACAGATGATCATCTGCAAAATTGTACAAGTCTTTAGGCAATTAATAAAAACAAAAGGGAGAAATGATCATCCAAAAAGTTGAATATCCCAATGAGATCCGATTTATCAACCTCAACACTTTTTTGTCTTACACAACTGCGTTTGCCAGCCTCTTTCAAGTATAAAATATGCTAAACAACTATTTCTCTCCCCACCCCCACAATGAAGACTCAAACAGCATTCAGAGCTTCGAGCTGTTTCTTCAGTTCTTCAAGGTCATCTTCCTCCTCTATTTCTCCTGACCCTGAAGCTATGGCTATTTCTCTCTCATACTCATCTGCATCTGGAAACTCCCGAGTAAGCCCTTCAGGCAATGTTGTATCTATACCTAAACACATAATTAATTTAGATAACCATCAGAAGAAGAAGAAGAAATTTTTTAGTTTGATACATTTTTTTCACATTAGAGTCCCCAAGTTGATTTTACCTGAACTTGATGCAGCTTTAGAAGCATCCTTCTCATTTGCATCGTCCACAACACTTGTTTAAAGACATGAGATACACATCAGATTTCTTATTGCAAATATGGCTGGAAAGGACAATACACATGGTCCCAATATTACAAATTTTGATGTTTAACTAATTCACTGAGTTGTTACCTTATGTTCCACTCATTATCAGCATGGAGTGAGCCTTCATCGATAGCTGTGGATGCATCAGCTTCCATCTTAGCTTTAGCAGCAGCGTCCCTTTCTGGTTTCGCAAGCATGTGTTCTTTCTACAGTTTTGGGATTTTATTTTATTTCACCAGAACATGAATTGAAACAAAGAGCAAACCAAAGACGAGCTGAGATCGTTTTTTAGTCGCATTGTTACCTGCCGCTCTAGACAAGCTACATTTGAGCATTGTGGATTTGGTCTCATTTTCATTGTTGGGAAAAAATCCTTCAATGAATTGTAACCCTGTGGGATCAAGTAATAAGAATAAATTTTGTAAGCTTTAACTGATTCAGTGATAAACCATTAAGTGTTATATGTAAGGAGAGCTGGATAAAGCAAAGCCTTTTACCAAGTATGGAGAAACTTCACCAAAATTTAGTAAGAACTTGAGAGAGTTTTGAACCAAAAGCCCAGCAACAACACCCTGAATTGACAATCAAACAAGAGTATTAGAACATATATAGAGCTTATATAAATACTCAACATATCCAAATATTGTTTAACCGTATTGTAAGGTGGTATAAAATTACCATAGTAGTTGGCAGAGATGCAGCACACACCCCTTCCCGCTTAAGTGTACGTTCATCAATTCCAGATGCCACGACCTACCACAGAATTAATAAAGAGATCGTTTAGAGGAAATGAAAATGTAGTATTAACCATACCCTGGATCACAGAATCCTTGAATTCACCCATATTCCACTGATAAATTACTCAAGCATTAAGGCAGGGTTTATTAGGTCGAGTTGTAAGAGTGATATAAGAAGGAAAAAAAAACATACCAGGGGAGGTGCACAAGCAAAACAAGCAGTTTCTCCGGGAACCAAGAGCTGTATGTGACCTGAAACAGCATCTTCGGACACACCTGCACAAAATATCACCTTCTTTGTTAGCCAAAGACAAACGAAAATTAGAAGTACATATAATTATTAGCTTTTCCTACTACTTACCTGACTCCATCCATGTTTGACGTAACTCATTGCAGGCCTATATATCAAAAGCATAAACTCAAATCAGAGCCAATCTAGAACATTTCAATAAATCTTCCATTCATAAACAGTGTAACTAATTGAATCATGTAAAATGTAAGATCAAAATGCTCAATGGTGAAGTAAGAATTATGTAAAGTTTGTAACAAGAAGGCCTTTTTCGAGAAAGAAGTAATATCTACCTGGTTGACAGCCATCCTTGCTTCATAGTTATCGACACAACTCAAAACAAGATCCACTCCGCTGCCCTCCTTGCTAGGACAAAATGACTTGTTTGTCAAGCTCGACGTGAAGGTTTCAAAGCCTTGCACTGTTGTTATGTTCATTGTGAAACTCTAGAAGAAGAAAAATAGAAATAGTATTAATTAATGACTCAAGAATTCTGTAGGATACATACATACATCATCCATAGACCTCCCACCCATTTGTTAGTTTAGTTCCCAGTAAATATGATGCAAATGGCCATTGAACTAGTACCAAATGTTTTAAACCTCATCAAGTAGAAAACTGACCTCAAGTACTACGTCAGGGTTTATTTCGGCAAGGGTCTGGACAGCAGCATCAGTCTTTGTCATACCAACCTACGGGTACCATTATCCGGAGATCAGAAAAAAATAGCAATACGAAATGGATGAAAAAGAGATAATTAAAAAATCAATGAGAAATGAGTACCTGATCAGGTCTAAAAAACAGTCTGTTCATGTTAGCTAGTTCTACAGTGTCATAGTCATACAACAAAAGACGACCAATACCACATCTGGTCAGCATCTCAGCAGCAACACTTCCCACACCACCAATTCCCTGTGAATTTAAAGAATCCATATACATATATTAATGAACGCACAAACTAAGGTGAATAGCAGAGGGAAAGAAATGGAGAAGAGAAGGAGAGAAACACAGACAACAATGGCGACTGAAAATCCTCTTATTCTCTCATAGTTGTCCACAATACCCATCCGCTGAAGTGCCATAAGCCTACTGTACGGATTACTATCTACCACTTCCGAACTCAATTCCTGCAAGTAGAGGTTCCCCTTGAAATCAGAAACGTTTTACAGAATATTATATAGTCAAATTTTAAATTAGAATAGTTTGTGAGTATAGTAGAATGCAAAACCTTGACTCTGGAACGCCGTTGAGGATTACATTTAGACAGATTGGCTAGATTTTCAACATGGGATCGGAGCTGCATATCCAAAAGAGAATTATTTGGTAAGTGGAAACACATTTGTTAGAAAGTGTCAGAAGAATTCATAAGCAATGCAACGAGATCATATGCAGCAAGCAAATAAGGATAAGCCAAATTATCATGCGATTCAGAGATTCCCAGAACCAGATCAATACAAAGATAGCTCGTAAACACCATTGCATGTGATAATTCAGTTATTCGAATCAAAGAGAAAAAGACAGAATTGGAGTCTTAATTCACAAGAGATTAATCAATAAAAACGAGATCGGAAGTGAAACACAAAAACACCTTGTGAATCGGAGCCGGATCCGAGAGAGATTTCTCGAGGACATCAAGATCATCAAGCAATGCTTTGAATTCGACCTCCATTGTTCAGCTTCTCTTTGGATGATGATTGAGAAAATCGAATCTACGATGCTGCTGATTTGGGTGAAAGAGACTCCGCGAGTGTTAATTTCAACAATTTACAACAGTGCCTAAAACGTTACTAATGGTTTTTATGACTTTAAACAAAACAAAGGTTGACTGAGATAAGAAAAGGATAGGAGCATTACAAAAAATATTATCCGGTCTGTCTTAAAACAATTGTAGATCACACACATTGGGCCTTAAGCATAGCCCATTTATTCTCCACCCTGGTTCAATAAGGTCGAAATTAAAATAAAATAACCAAAGAGCAGCAGCTTCGAACCCGCGTGGATAAAGCCGAACCCGCGCGTGCTTGGTTAAGAAATCGGTTTACAAAATAACCGGTAAACCGAAACATTTACTAGATTCCCACTCGGGAACCAATTAGAAAGCGCCACATCATGACACCCAACAAAACGGGAACCTGGTTTCTTTATGTTTTTGGTCGCGCATACCTTAAACATAGGAGAAGAAGAAAAAAGCTTTTGAGATCGAGATTAATGGATCCATTCACAATCCATCCAAAATCTTCAGACCCAATGCTCATCTCCTCACCAATCTTCATCTAATTATCTCTTTTCAGACACATCATCTCACCAGTTTCTTTACTCCATCGACGAAGTTGCACCTCCAAAAAAAATTCATCAGATTACTGGTTTTATTGATTCGTAGCATGCGAAAGGAAGATGATGGGTTCTGAAAAACGTACTCTTTCTAAAGTTCCTGAGATCTCAGGTGCCCCCTTCTTCTCTTTTTTTTTTGGTTTCCGTTCTTAAATTTTGAAACTTTAGGGTTTGTGATTGCGACATTTAAACGTCTTTTAATTGATGCATACATTGTTTATCTATATGCCTTTGTGTGCGCTTGTCGTGGATGATTATCCGATTGTTATGATTTGGACATAATTTATTGGTCTTTGATTGATTCATGAGCAAACTCATGTTTTGTTAATTTTCTTAGAATTTGAGTGTTGGTTGCAAACAAAAAATTGTTACTAGGCGACTGACAGCTCTTTGGGGATTTGTTGTAGGTTTGCGAGAAAAGCATCAACAAGATCTAGAGAAACTGACATTGACCTCACAGCCACTCAAAACTTTGAGATTCTTTGTTGTTGCTGTTTTGCTATATGTTAGAAGATCCACTGCCTACCTTCTTGCGAATGTCGGCTGGCTTATGCTTTTTAGTAGCATTTTTGTGGCCTTTGCAGCTCTGCTTGTGACCTTAGATGGCCCTCACGTCAAGGTAAACAGATTGACACTGCTTCTCTCTGTAGCTTTAACTAGGGATTAAGTGACAAGGAAGTGATGAGATATGGAAGTGTGGCTCGTGCGATGTTTCTTTGCTTTGTGATAAGTGAGCCCTTTTATATATCTGAAAAAGCTTTTGGAGCAGAAATCTTAGAACTGCCGCTTATCTACTGCTATTGAAATTGGGGATAAAAGCATATCGAAATTCATGAGTGATGTTCTAAATATCTGCTTCATTCTTAATTTATCAGCTTCTGCTGTTTACTTAGATGAAGAACATGGTAGTATCTCATTATTTTTCCCACCTGCAGCACCTTGAAGAAATGTCTGAGTATATCAGGTTTGGACTCTGGTGGATTTTTTTAGGTGTTGCATCATCTATTGGTCTTGGTAAGAATATGTTTTACTCCCTCGCATACATTATGTATCACTTCTGTCAAGAAAGAAACACTGATAGAATGCTGTTCCTGTCAAATGCCTAACATACTTCTCTTTTCACATTTATTGATGATTCCAGGATCTGGTTTGCATACATTTGTTCTTTATTTAGGTCCGCATATTGCTTTGTTTACCATAAAAGCAATGCAGTGTGGACGAGTCGATTTAAAAAGTGCTATATATGACACAATTCAGTTGAAGAGAAGTCCTTCATGGCTTGATAAACCTTGCCACGAGTTTGGCTCCCCAGTCTTTTCTTCAGGAGTTCCTCTTAGCAGCATACTGCCTCAGATTCAGATAGAGGCCATCCTCTGGGGTCTAGGAACAGCGTTGGGAGAACTTCCTCCTTACTTTATTTCCAGGGCAGGTGAAAATTCATTCTCCCCACCTTCTTATTGACAGACAACTCAATTTTCGTTGTTTAGTGTTAATGTATATTCTCTGAGGCCCAGTTTCACTTGATGTATGAGATTTATCTAAATGGGATTGAATAAATGGGTTTTAGAGGTGTCGAGTTATATTCTGATACATGAACAAGAGATGCAAACAGTTTGTGGCAAGATTGAGTACTAATGCTTTCACTCTAACAGCAAGTCTTTCCGGTGGCAAAATGGAAGAACTGGAGACATGTTCTGGTGATGATAACGGATTCTTTGCTAAACGCGTAAATCAGATCAAAGGCTGGCTATTATCACATTCACAATACCTCAACTTCTTCACAATTCTGATTCTTGCTTCGGTACGTTTTAGATGGGTCTTCTGAACAATCCAATGCTTCTTGCAGAGACGTTTGTTGCATCTCTCTGTTTCCAGAATACTTATGATGCACTTACTACAATTATATTTTTTCCTTTTCATTCAGGTGCCTAACCCATTGTTCGACCTTGCTGGAATCATGTGTGGACAATTCGAGAAACCATTTTGGGAGTTTTTCCTTGCAACATTGATTGGAAAGGCAATTATCAAGACACATATACAGGTTTTGTGAGCGTTTGCATAATACCACTGTTTTTATTCACTTTCGTTCTCATCCTTCAAGTTTGATCTCAGAGTCAATATTTTTTTCTTTTGCAGACAGTTTTCATCATATCAGTCTGTAATAATCAGCTTCTTGACTGGGTAGAGAATGAGCTTATATATATTCTGAGCTTTGTGCCCGGTTTTGCTTCTGCATTGCCTGAGCTCACAGGGAAACTCCGCTTAATGAAAGAGAAGTACTTGGTTGCCTCGCCTCCAGTAACTTCTGATATCAATGTAACATATTTCTTTTTGTTCCTCTTTACTTAGGCCATTACTGTTTTGCCTTGCACTGCATTTGATGTTTTCGGATGATTGTTTTCTTGGTTCAGGTAAAGAAATGGGATCTTTCTTTTGCATCGGTGTGGAATGGAGTTGTGTGGCTGATGCTTTTGAATTTCTTCGGCCAGATTGTGACTTCAACTGCACAGAGATACCTCAAGAAGCAACAAGAAGAAGAACTAGATGCCTTGACCAACAAATCGTCGCCAAACACAAAGAGATCTAAGTAGTCCAGAACCTAATCTATTGTTACTAACTTTGGGTTTTTTTTCTTTTCTTTTTTTCTTCATAGAAACCATACGATTGTGTTTTTTCTTATCTGAGAACAAAAGAAATTTGTCCATAAAGAAGAAAACAGATTGAAAGTTGAAAGGAAGTTCTAACTAGTTTTTCCCTTTAATAATTTTGCAAAAGTTATGGAATTAAGATAATTTCTAGTATTCTTCATAAAATAGTTACCATGGTTGGATAAAAGTTTCTCTTTTGGCTTTAAACAAATGCATGCTACATCTAGAAGAAACTTCGGGTCTTGAATCTTGATAAAGTCATCATATTATGCTCTTAAAATATAATGGTAACTACGAGATAATCTAACAATTCTATCTCGTAGACACGGTCACTGAAAGAAATCAATGTTTGATTGTATGTATTGTCTGACAACATACTTAACGGGACTTTGTCCCAGAAGCTAAATCCTGAATTATGGCTAAAAACTTAACTTCAAAAAAATAAAAAAATACTTAATAGAGATAATAAGAGTTATAGAGTAAGGTTTCTTTTAAAAGACGAAATCAGTTTTGGAGCTTACCGCAGAAAAAGAACAAACGAAAGGGACAAATGAGAACTCATTACTGCAGAAACTGACAAAGAATAAAAGTCGAGAGAGACTTAAATAAACTGTTCGTCAGTCTTTTAAAGTATTTTTCCCATGCAAGAAGACACAAATCTCAACAGTTAAAACAAACAAATAAATAAAAAGACTCCGAAAATTATGCAAAGAATAGGCCAATTTAAGTAGAAAATTTAATAAAGTATACTTTACTTGGATAAACTTCGTAAACAAACTTCCAAATAGAAAATGCCTAAACCACAGTTACGTCATCTCACTTGAAAAATGTGAATTTTGTATGATAAACCTTGATGCAATGGCGACAAATTGCTCCAAGACACATTTACTCATTTCTATGCAGTACATGAAAGTATATTTCCTACTGAGATTAATACTATAGTTTTGCTTACAACAAGAAACCTTATATTAGATAATGCAACAATCTTCATATACACACAACCACTACAAACACAGGAAAAAAGTCCACTGCGCACCCTAACCTTTTCAACCAGTTTGATAGAATTGACACAAATTCCTATCATATAAACTAGCTAGCTGAATAAAGTATCCATAGCCCCTTTATATATGTAATGTGATATCCAAAACTATTGCATAACGAAAACTGTTTGGACAAGGGTTAATTATGTTTACATATCCCACGTATAAAGTATAAACTATATAGCTCAAAGTTTTTTCTATCTCGGGTCATATATCGTCCTCAATATTGAACTACGTAGTAAGTACGTCTGATTCTGACTGTATAACGAAGTAGGCGAGTGAATGCATTTAAGAAACTTGAAATGTCTGTTTGTCTTTTAGCTAAAACAAATGGGAAAAAAGTTTGACTGTTTACACTGTCTTTTTATTTTATTACTACTAAAAGAAAATTTTAAAAATCTCCTCTTCTTTCTTATTGCGCCAACAACTGTTTTGTCAACGGTTTGCTTTTATATTTTTTTCTTTTTATGATTAGGAAATAATGGGGTCACATGTAGAGAGAGAGGTACTTGTAAATCCTCCTCATTCCTCCTCTAACAAATAAAGAAACAACAGCAACATCGCATGTTCTCCTTTGAATTTTCCCAATGAGTCTTTCTCCGTCACGACCACGTTGTCTTCTTTTCTTTTTTTCCTTTTTTTTCAAATTAAGATTTACCCAAAGCGAAGACTTTTTATTTTATTTTTGAGTGGGCATGCTTATCCCGAAATGTGCCCCATGTAATTATCATCATCTATTACAAAATGTTAAAAGTTCAAATAATAATAACCTTGACACAAAGCATTTCAAAATTCAAAGGGTACGAAGAAATAAATAAAAACAATTGATCAAAATTATTAGAAAAAAATACACTTGAGGAACTAAATAAAGATGATACAAAGAAACAACAATAAGTAATTTAAGAAGAAGAAGAAGAAATAAAACAATCACGGCAAAAGTTATATACTACTTTGAATAGGTGGATATGGTTAGGTTCTTTTATGAGTTAGAACCGTTGAGATAAAGACACGTGACGGCGTCTGATCTGAGTTGAAACAATGGAGACGAGTCCACCTAGTGGTGGCCTCATCTTTGACCTATAAGTCATCTCATCGTACGGTCTACGGTAAAACTTGAGAAACTGGACGAACGAATCTTTTTTAGGCTTTTCGCTTTTGCTTACGTGTGACTCTCGCCGGAAGAAAACCGCCGGAGATTGGAAGAACGACGGGCGTGGTATCCGCGGGTCACGCAGTGTTCCGATAGAGTGACGGTCGGTTGTCCTAGCTGGCATCGGCGTTGAAGCGAAGAAGCTCCTCCTCGGACCACCGAACGGCTCGCTCCTAGCCGCCGGCGACGCGAATGAGAAAGAGCGCGCGTTGAGAGGTGAGATGTACGCGCCCGTGTTGTGTCCTACTAGTTTTGAAGATGACGTGTCGGTCAACGTCAGGCACCATGGTTTGACCGTGTCGAGACCGTCGCGAGATACGGTGAAAGCGAACCTGGAGGACGCGCAAGAACCGATCTTGCCCGTCGATTTGAGTGATGACGTGTCGAATCGGAGGGAGGAGACTCGTGATGGGTAGGATGCAGAGAAGTCATCGTAGTCATACGAGTCTTGGAAATCTTGCATGGACACAATCATCGTGGCCGTTGACAGATCCACGAATGTGCGAACACCCTACACGTGATCGTAGACGATTACAATCTTTGACTTTGTTAAAAAATATACTATAACACACCTCGCTTTCAAACTCGTTAAGTCTTTAAAGTTACGTTTTTAGATAGGTGAACTAACACTTTGACTTAATAAGCATAATTAGTTTCACATTTAACCAAAAATAAATAAATGAAGTACAGTATAATTAAAATTCGAATTGAAAATCAATGTAATTAAAAAGGTTACCTTCCAAAGGTAAGAGAAAAGAGAAGGAGGATCGATCACGAAGGTTTTGTAAAGGCGACATGGGTAATACTCTGCGACTAATTTCAGTGTAGTCACAAGTATGTTCATGAAACCTGATGCAGATTTGAAGAAGCCTGCACATTAATGAATTGTTATAATTAGAGGATGTAAAAAAAAATTAAAAAAAATCTGGTTAGAATGACTTGACCTATTTTAGCAAATGCATATGAAAAAAAAAGGTGAAAAAATGGTGTGTTTTGCTTTAAAAAAAAAAAAAAAAGGAAGGTGTACGGTGGGAGTTGCAGAGGATCAAAAGAGGAACATTTAATGAAAAGGCTAAAGAGTACTTCTCTCGCAAGTACTGCTGTAGTTAGTGGAAGAGCGACATAAGTAAATGCCAAAAATAACCTCAATAATTGAGACAGTGGTTCGGGTGTGACCGTGACTCTACAGGGACACTACGGACTTTTTCTGATCGTTATCTCTCCCACTCTCCTGCCGGAGTACCGACATGTTCCGGTCCCCCTTTTTTTTACCAAACTTCTTTTCTTTTTTGATTTGTGAAAATAAAAACTTAAAAACACATCTACGTTTTATTCGTTAACCGTGACAATATTTCCAACAAGATATAAAAAGACAAAATAAAATAGTTACCATTTTTTGAATCTTTTTTTTTTACTTTTCCCCCTTTATTTTGAAACTTATTTTCCTACTACAATTAATATATTTAAAGAGTATAAATGGAACTGAGAGAGAGGGATCAGAGAACTTACTAGCATCGAAAAGGATGACTAGTTGTTCGACGTTTCTGGACATGGTTGAGATTGCCACCTCTAATGTAAATACTACCAAACGAGTCAACCTACGAAACCAATTAAAAAAAAAACAACAAAGGAATATATATGTATATTAATTAACTTTGTGCGACTATATATGTTTTAATTATGAATATGGATGATTTATACGTACTGTTTCTGCGTATGCAGCTTCTGATAGTCTTGTTTAATTCGGAAAACCTAAGAGGAATTTAAAAAGAGGTGTCAAACTAAGGTTTGGTTATGAGATTAAAATAAAATCAACACAAGTGATGAGAAGCATAAAAGTTTACCAAAACGGGTCTGCACTCGTCATCAAGACCAGCGACGTAGGCAAGACCTTCAGCAAGCTCCGCCGTGAACTCGTCGGCGATCAAGCTCTCTGTTATCATAGTCATATAGTAATAGATTAATTAAACAAAAGAAATTCAAACAAATAAAAAAAGGAGAAAAAGGGAAAACAGAATCTTGAAAAATTAAATAGAAGAGGTTAAAAATGAAAATAAGTGGGTGTCATAATGAGTGGATATTCACTTTAACGCTCGATGTTCAAACATGGGACTCATCAAAACCCGAGAAAAGCAAAGAAAACGTCTGTTTTTTCTTCTTCTTAATTAACTACACATTTATACACAAATACGAGAACTGGTTCTATAACCACTACTTCTAGCAAACCAAATCTATCATCTTGTGACACACACTACATGCTTTCTTTACTTTAAGCTTTATGTTTTCATCCTCTCGTTTTCATTATTTTTAGAAATTTAGACCGTTTAAAAAACAAATAAAGCTGTCTACTACCTCTAAAGATGTAACGTACGCGTGTTTCGTATGTAATATTCCCATTATTCAAAAATATCTGTTTTAAGGAAAAGAGTACTGCAAATATACGTTTGTCCCATATATACATATACGTCTAATATTATTAACTTGTATCCAAAAAAAAAAACAACTTGTATTATGTAGCAGAGAGAGAGAGAGAGAGAGAGGGTATACCAATGCCAAGAGAAGATCTCCATGAAAGGCAAGACCGTAACTGTTTAGCTGCTTTCTTCACATTGTCTCCTTTTATTCTCAAGAACCTCCCAACACAAGCTCTGTTACAGAACTTCTCCTGCAACGTACGACAAATTTATATATATCAAATCTTTTTTACTTTCTTGGAAACATAATTAGAGAGAGCTTATAAATTAGTAGTGTGTAAAACAAAAGCAAACCTGTTTAAGAGTGAGAGGAGAATGTTTACGAAGGAGATGGAGAACAGCTTCGACTTTGTCGTCGTTCTCTACTACTACTGATGTAGTTGATGAATGATGATGATGATGATGATGATCCTTCATCTCTTTCTTCCCCATCTTTCGAGATATCAAACACACCAAAGATGTTTTCCTTTTGTTTCTTCTTTTTTATATGTGAAAAAACAAAAATCAAAAGAGATTGCTTAATTAGGCCGTTGTAACAAATATGCCAAGCTTGTTATTCAAGCGATAAAGTGAGAGAGAGAGAGAGAGAGAGAGACACCCACAAGAGGGAAAAAGAGATTTTGAAAAAAATGGCAAAGTGAGTGATTGAGAAATGAGAGGTGTGAGGTGAGACAGAGAGAGAAAGAAAGAGAGATTCCCCACTCTTGTATATATATTTTGGGAAGGAGATAACGGTGGCTAACTCCGTTAACACTACGCAAAGCACATATGTCCAGGTCAAGGTCGTCATGCCTACATTATTTTTATTCAACTAGCCATTTTAAATATAGAGTTTTTTTATGTCAACAGTAAATGACCCTATAAAATTAAGTTGTGGGGTTAAAAAAACTAAAATTATATTGTTATAATATACTTTAATTATAACTAAATAATAAATTTACACCATTTAGGAAATTTTCTTTTCTCATAATAAGAGGAAAAAATTTATACTCTCCAATTAATAAAAACACTCTTCTTTTATTTTTATTTTTGTAACAAAGAGAGTAAAAAGATTTAGATGGAGAGGACAAAAAATAAATAAAGAGAGGTCAAACGGCGTCAAGTGTTATTATTAACTTTGCCCGTTGGAACAAGGGATTCGACTTTACTTAATTACTCTATCGTTGAACTTTCAATAGAGTTTTCAAAAGCACTAATTTTGATCACATCAATCTCTTTTTTCTTTGTTTCTTCTTTTGAGAATTATGAATCTTATTGGCTGGTACAATAAAACAAACGTATTATTTTTCATGAACATGTAATTCACGTCTACAACAAACGTATTATTGTCGGATTTTTCAAAACAAAAATATGTCAAATCAGAACTAGTCCGCTTTGTTTCTTGTGGTTTATAATATGAAGCGTTTCCTTCATTGTGTGTGAAATACTAATTGACAATGTATCTTACGTTTAATTTTGTTTCAGATACACGTTATATATTATTATATTTCCCATATGAAAGGATAACATTTTACGTTTAAAATAACATGATAATATATGTCATTAAAAACAAAAGCATATCGTATTGACCTGAAAACGGGAAGAAACGAACAAAATAATAGTATTTTCCCTTGATTATACTCCCTATCTTAGCTATGTACATACATGCAGACTCATGCTATGTATATACATGACAGACTTTAAAAGAGGAAACATGAAAGGGTCGATAAAATAGGTTGATTGGGCAGATCTCTCTCTCGTGCTATGTATCGGATTTAATTCACAGCCCTTTTGTCCCCGCCGGTGCAGTAGTAAATACGCTTATTTAACATCACAATTGACTATTATTATGTAGTCTAAAAGATACTATTAAATGCGCGATTGCTTTAACACTTCTAAAGAATACTCCAACAAAACAACGACAAAAGAAAACCAAAAAAGCAAACATCGGACGACCAATTAAAGTTTAATTAATACTAACACCTTTTACGTAAGGTGCAATGCTCCTCCAATAAGTAATAGGGTTGGTTATGATATTTCATACGTTACTAACATAAATCTGTAAAACCCATTTTTGTAAGCTGTGATATTTTAAGGAAAATGAAACTAAAAATTGTCTATTTATAGCTTTTTCTTTTTCTTTGAAGGAGCAGGACCCGACTAATATCACCACATTTTTCAACGTGCATTTGGTGAGTTACGTTCATAGTTTGAGATTTACAACCGGATCATATCATTGGCTGTACTACTACATAGATTATTAACCTTTTGCTTTATAGCTGATTCAAAATTTAAACACGTACGTACCATATATAGAAACCGAGTATATATATAAGTTTGAAATTTGCTATAGTTGGTTTTTATTATGAATGTGGTTTAAAGATCGATGATCATTAGAGCAGTGTGTGAGATAGCTAGGATGGCATGTCCCATGTACGATTCTCTCCAGAGACATAATAATTAGGAATATACCGTATAACTTTAAAGTTTAGTGATAGTATTTGATAAGATAGAAATGATTTCATTAAATAGAAAGTAGTGGAAACGACATATATCTATCAAAAGACTCAGTCTTTGAGTACAGCCAACAACAGTAACAAATCAAATATTCGTATCAAATATCAGTGTACCTTCAAGTAGAATGTAGTTGGCAGCTTGTGTCTGTGTGTGTTGTTGTTCTTTTTTTTTATTTTTTTTTACAAAGAACTTGCATACAATTCATTTGATTGATATCATAGCATTTATAAACTCCTTTAACCAGATATCAATTTATGCATGAGGGATTTTATTTTTTGACATCAAATGTATGATGGATAAGTAATTAATGTAGTATGATCATCTAAGTCGTCAACCTATCGTGACACGCTCACATTTGCACCATCTATCGAAAACTTGTTTTTATTTCCCTAACATATATCTTCCAAGTGCTTTCTTATATATATATATATATATATATATATTTCAACGAATCATTTGTAGAAGAAATACAAAACGTACTTATTTCAATTTGAAAAACTAATAAGAAAACAAAAGCATGCATGCAGAGATAAAAAGCTGGAGGAAAAGAAGAAAAAGCCCGTGATGACATAGTTGAATGGGATCACTAGACTGTCTATTATAATGAAAACATAAGCACTTACTTATATATATATAATCATTTTGGTTCTTAGAAAAGTTTCTATTTATAATCAAGTGGATCCTTCTTAATTTTTGATGTCTCTTCTGTTTGAATCTACTATACCTATGTTTTTGGGAGAAAAACTAATAAAATATATTTTATGGGACGGGAGACTAATTTATTTTATTAATATATAATGCATGAGACGACTTTGAGTTAAGTTCAAACTTTTCATTATTAATCGCATGAAAAGTCTCTATGATTATGTTTGTTTCGTTCATTTATAGCACACTCTGAAATATTTTAAATAAAATCTTAAGCTTGATTGTATCATTAAACTACGACCCTTTAATTCAAATGCCTAGTTGACAAAACGTTTTCTATCATCGTAAACTCTATTTTGATTCTAGATCTTGATTTCATCCATAAACAAACCCATATAATTTACCACCAAAAACAAATTATATATTTCAAATTCACTCGATAATTTTGTTAATAGGTTAGGTTAATAAAGCTTCTTTGGTAAAAAGTACCATATACATATTTGTCAAAGGTTAGTTTAACAATATCTAACTCATAAGTCATAACACGTCTAATATATATATGCAGCAGTAACTCATAACATTTCTTCTGATATATATATATAGTGTGCAAAACAAAAAGAAGCGACAAGAAAAAGTTAAAACAATTTAACCAAAAAACCCTCAGAATTAGAGTAAACATGATTCAGAATCTAACGTTGCTAATCGATCGACGACATGCAAAAAAAAAAAAATCAATGTCTTAGAGATATATAGACTGTGTTTGTTATTCGTAACGAAACGAAGGAGTCGAAGACCGACAAATATTCCTGATTACTGATGTATCTTCTGAGAAGATTTGACAATAGAGAGTAATATAGATTGAGAGAAACAGTGGTGGTGACATTATTATTACAGTAATAATTGACTTAGCCTACCTCTTCCTTTTTTTTTGTAAATACTACTACTGTAGTATTATAGTTTTGTTGTTGCTCTCTCTGACCCCAATATGTCAACAACAACTCACGTGACCCCTCAAGTCTCTTACTTCTTCGCGTTTTACTAACCATTTCTCTCATGTTCTACCAAACCTCTCCTAAGAAAACTCGATCTCATCGTCGTCCCCTTATTTCTTGTTGTTGTTCTCCCCTGTCTCTTTATTCAAATTTTGAAATCGGGCCAGTGACAAGAAACAATGATAATTTCTGAGTTAGTGGCCGTTTGATTAGTTACCATTTGAAAACTTTCATCATTTCACATTTTTATATCCCTTTCATTGATCAAGCAGTACCCATCTATATATTGTATATGCAATTCCACCAAAACATATTGAAATATTTTATTTTAACTCTTACGTCAATAAATAAGAGTTTCGAGCCAACGTAGGTCTATTGAACATCGGATATTCTAATCAACCATAGTTAAAATCTTAATGAAATGACTCGAACCATGTTATAAAAACACCATAAATTGATTGAAATCTTATTTAATGTAGAATGAGTTATACTATCATAATTTATCTTTAATCTTTCAGACGAAAGGCAAAAAATAAAAAGAGCAAGGGATAATAAGATTTTGTTGATGTTCTTTTACGTAGCGCGATGAACATGTTATCAAAATATACATATCCACCATGTTCTTTAGCGATAAAAGCCCATATTCTATTTCCTATAAATGGGCTTTAACGCAATACTTTCTTCGGCCCATAAAGCTATAACTTTCCCTCGGTAAGAAGTCGTCGAACTCGTGGCACCTGGGTTTTGTTAAAGTGCCAAAGCTCTCGATTTGTTCTAATCTAATCGCTTAATTAAGATATCGATTTCAAACTAAAGGGGGCTAAATGATCAAATCAAGAAGTATAGGGTGCAATTTCAATAAGGGTGGATTAACTATAAATAAATCCGGATGGAAAACAAAATAAAAAGTTCCGTTTTTGGTTTCCTCATCTTTTTGTACCGCTCCGTTGCGCTTCTCTCTCTTTCTCATTCTCTCTCCTTCCTTCCTTCCTTCCTTCCTCCTCTCTCTAGCGGCGGAGTTGCATTGTCGGCCGCCGAGGTAACCGGCGACAGTGGAATCTCTAAGCTCACAAGCTCTTCACGTCTATCCTTAAAGGATTTATCGCCGATAACTTTCATTGTCATATCTTCAGATTTTTTTTATTATTTGCCGATAGGATCGGGGCACATCTTGTTTCTCACACCCCGGATCCGGTGATTTAGGGCGAATTTTGATGCTTATCGAGTAACGGGTTTATCGATTTAGGTATTTCATTATCGATTTGGTCTCGGATTTAACGGGATTAGGATTAAAGGTCCTTACTTTGATTTTGTGTAGTGATCGTTCATGGAACGGGGTGGTGGTTCTGGTGAGCGCTCACGGATTGCTGCGCATACTCCTCGGATCTTGAAGGAGAAGATCGATGGGGTTGGTAGGACTGTCCCATCTACTGGAAATAGGCAAAATTTTCAGATGAAGAGATCCAGAATGCCTGTTAGTGATTCCGAATCAAGTGACGAGTTTATGAAACCACCTCCACGTAGAAGCGTTGACTCCAAATCCCTCGCAGTGAAAGAGAAGTTTGTTCGGAAGAGGGATAGGGCTGAGCATGATCTAAATGTGTATGTTAGGAGAAACAACGAGGCGTCAGGGAGTTTGATGAAGATGAACAAGTTAGATGTATTTGAGTTTGATGAATATGATGGGTTTGATAGTGCCAATTTGATGAGAAAACGCTTTGATAATGGCAGCGTTGGTGTTAGCGGCAGAAGCTCTTTTGCACCCAGAAGGTTTGATACTAGTATGGGTAGGCCTGGATCAGGCAGGGGTGGTGTACTTGATAGGAGGAGAACCACATATTTAAATGGCACTGATTGTACGAACTCGCAGGAGGACTGGAGTAGTGAATCTGATTCTGATGAACCAATGAAGGTGCGGCTGCAAGGGAGAAACGGTGTTCTGAAGGTGAAGGTCAACAATAAGACAAGCACCCTTGCTGCTTCAATCAATCACCAGGACGCAGATATATATAAGAGACCGCTCTACTCTAGGAAGGTACAAAAGCGAGAGGATGTTGTAGTAAAACCAACCTTTAGGAAATCAAATAATGTAGGCAATGGTTCAGAGTCAGAAGAGAGCGATATGTCACGGAAATCAAAAAAGAGGAAATCAGAGTATAGTAAACCCAAAAAGGAGATCAATACTAAATCAAAATCAACCTTTTCTGAACCGGTAAAACCTGGTGTGAGAGAGGAGAGAAGAGGAAGGCGTGGTGGTGGAACAGAGAAGCAAAGATTACGTGAGCGAATTAAGGGAATGCTTACTGATGCAGGATGGACGATAGACTATAAACCTAGGAGGAATCAAAGTTATCTGGATGCTGTATATGTAAACCCCTCAGGAACAGCATATTGGTCAATAATTAAAGCATATGATGCACTTCGGAAGCAGTTAAAAGATGAGGAAAATGATGCCAGGCCTAGGAAAGATACTGCTGCAGTTGCTTCAGTATCGGAGGATATTGTGAACAAGTTAGCAAGGAAGGCAAAGAAGACACAGACTGAGATGACAAAGAAATGGAAAAAAATTTCCAGTGGTAGTGATAGTGAAAACGAAAGTGATGGAGATGATAGAGGAGCCTACACTGATATCCCTGAAGAGATGATACGTTCAACCTTAAAGCTGGGTGGGAAATCGACAAAAAAAGGAAGAAATGGAACCAATTGGGATGATCTACACACGAAAAGTAAAAGGTCAATATATTATAATAATTCAAGGCCATCGTCTGGATCAGATTCACATTATCTACATGGAAGAAAAAGCAAAAAAATTGGACGATGTACTCTGTTGGTGCGTAGTTCGAAGGATAAAAAGAATCCAGCTATTGACGGGTTCAATCCATACTCTGGAAAAAGGACATTGCTCTCTTGGTTAATTGAATCTGGAGTTGTCCAACTAAGACAAAAGGTGCAGTACATGAAGCGGCGAGGTGCAAAGGTGATGCTGGAGGGATGGATTACAAGAGAGGGTATTCATTGTGTTTGCTGCAGTAAAATCCTCACCGTTTACAAGTTTGAGATTCATGCCGGGAGCAAGTCATGTCAGCCTTTCCAAAATATTTATCTGGAGTCTGGCACTTCTCTTCTTCAATGCCAACTCAGAGCGTGGAATATGCAAAAAGATTCTACGAGTCTTGGTCTCCATCAAGTGGACATTGACGGGGACGATCCAAATGATGATGCTTGTGGTATCTGTGGAGATGGTGGAGATTTGATTTGCTGTGATAGTTGTCCATCAACATACCATCAAAGCTGCCTAAAGATGCAGGTATAAGATCGTGCAAATTCTTACATGTTTTGACCTTTTTAATTTTTCTTACCGTGATTTGGTTTCGAGTTCAACTTTGTATCTGTTTATAATATATGTGTACATTCACGTTCTTGTATCATGCTTTTATTGTAGGTGCTTCCCCCGGGTGATTGGCATTGTCCAAATTGCACATGCAAATTTTGTGGTAAAGCTGTGGATTCTGGTGGCGAGGACGGGAATCTTGCATCATTACTTTCCTGCAGCATGTGTGAGAGAAGATGTGAGATGTTTCTTTTTGAGGTTGATTTAACTTAAGACGAACTTCTATTGGTAACAATGATGATCTCACTTAAAATAACCCCTTTTGTAGATCACCAATCATGCATCAGTGAGGTGGGAGCCAACAGGGTTCAGTCTTTTGGTTCAGCTTCTTCGTTTTGTGGGCTTAATTGCTTAGAGGTATTGACTTCTCTACTTTCTCAGTAATTTCTTTTCTTACGTTTTGGGTCCGGTTTCTCCTTAGTGACAATAGAGGATGATTATGGACATTTAAATGTCATAGGAAGGTCACGACTTATTCACTTCATGTGCATTGTGCAATACTTGAAAAAAAGTATCATGTTAGTTCTTCTTGTTACGTTATATTGCATCATACAAAACTCTGGTAGGTGTAATAGCATCAGTAAAAGCTAATTTTATTGGTGTTCCTTTTTATATCATCTGTTTCGTGAGTGAAAACTTGCAAGTTCTGCATTTATGTAATGGGGAAATGCTTAGAGCGTTTTTAATCTATTTGCTCAAGAATTTCTATGTCAATGCATTTATTTGACATTCTTGGTCCCTTTTCTCTTCGTATAGCCATATCTTAAATTGTACTTATATCATCTTTTACAGCTCTTCGAAAAGTTACAGAAGTATCTTGGTGTCAAAAATGAAATAGAAGGCGGCTACTCATGGTCTCTTATACATAGGGTGGAAATTGATTCAGATACAAACTCTCAATTGTCGGCACAAAGGATCGAAAATAATTCAAAGCTAGCTGTTGGGCTGGCTATCATGGATGAATGCTTTTTGCCCATAATTGACAGACGGAGTGGGGTAAATCTGATTCGCAATGTTCTTTATAATTGTGGGTAAGTTCTTGTTTTTGTCTGTCTTTTAATATTCATGCTAGAAAGTATGATCTTGTCAACTCCTTTTGATATGGAGTTTATACCAGCATGGAAGTGGATAAGATTATCCTAAAAGTGAATTGAATTTGGTATCTAGTATGAGTTAAGAGCATTGCATGTCAGCTGTAATCAATGTAAACTTGTGAACGTGTCGTTGTAGATATACCGAAGTATAGCTGGTGTTTTGTGTCATCAGTTTTGATATGCTATTGTTACTATTAGTTTGGTCTTTATTGTACGTTTGTTTGCAACTTTTTTATTAGATACACCTGCAGGGAAATTTAACAGCCTATAAATTGGGTTGCTCTTTAATGCCTATACTTGGTTCTATATGTTGACTGCCTTCTGTATGCAGATCCAATTTCAACCGGATCAATTATACTGGCTTCTACACTGCTATCCTAGAGAGAGGAGACGAAATTATATCTGCGGCATCTCTCAGGTATTTTCCATCATCTTAGTCAACATTTTTCAATAAAGTGGCTTCTTATCTAGCTTTGTCGGAAACTCATTGGAAACAAATTGTCACTACTGGGATACTTTTGTAGTTCATGCACTTTACTTTCCCCCTTAGTCCTTGAACAACTGAATAACTACTCTGAGTTCTCTTGTTCTTTTATTGTCTATCTTCTACCTGTTCAGATTGGTTGCTGATAGGACAAGCAGGCCTTTAACTAGCTGTGGTTTAGAAATGCCATTTAGATGCAAGTGATTGCAGATGTTCATACATTTAAGTACTAGTTGTTCCATCAATGTTCAGTTTCGAGGACATTCTAGAGTTTAAGTGTTTTCTTTCTATGTTAGGTTTCATGGTATGCAATTGGCAGAGATGCCATTTATTGGAACCAGGCATATATATAGGCGTCAAGGAATGTGTCGTCGCCTGTTTGATGCCATTGAATCGGTAAGCTTGTTGAACTATATATCATTGTTGGTGGGGGCCAGATGTGCTTTTTCAAAAAAAAAATTAACTTTTTGTTTGTCTTGTTTGAAAGGCTATGCGTTCTCTCAAGGTTGAGAAAATGGTTATTCCTGCCATTCCAGACTTCTTGCATGCATGGACTGGTAACTTTGGATTCAGTCCTCTTAATGACTCAGTTAGACAAGAGATGAGGCACCTGAACACATTGGTATTCCCTGGAATAGACACGTTACAGAAACCGCTGCTCCATGAAGAAAACGTTATAGTTGCGGCACCTGCAGGTGGTACTATAAATTCAGAGAGAGAAACAGAAAATAAATCAGAATTTGCCTCTTGTGTTGAAATTGGTCCACACTCCATTGAGGGTGATGAATTTATCGCTGATGCTGCGAACTGCTACAAGAATATTCTTGCTTCAGATGAAGAAAACATTCCCATATCAGTTGAAACAGCCATGGACACAATTTCCAAGCCGGAGGATGAGTTGAATAAATGTTTGCCTGGTGAAGAATGTGGCCTTAGCTCTTCTCCTTGTCAGATCATACTAAAGTCAGGCACTAAGCACGTATCCAATTATATATGTGAAGATACAGGATCATCATGTGAAGACGGCCTTACGGATGTGAATGTCCAAGCCGATGCTGGATTACTTTCTCAGGAAATCCAAGCATCAGCTAAATTTCAGGTTGAAAACAATCTGTCCTCGTCTATTTCTGGTAGAGTATCATCAGATTTGAGCTCAATCTCTCAAGAAGCCAAAAGTGAACTAAACTCTTCGAATTTAGACGGAGTTCCTTCATGTAAAGAAAATAGCATACTCGGTCCTTGTGCTGAGTTGGCTGAATCGAAGGACAATGCATTCGCAGATGGGTTTCTTTTATGAGAAGTGCGAGAGAGAGAGAGACGGTTGTTGAGAAAATTTGTTTACTGAAGATGAATCTGAGCTGTTCTCCTGGAGGAGGTATAATATCTCCTGGATTTGTTCGGACATATTGATGGTCCTAACTTTGAAGCTGCATCCTCCAACCATCAGGATTCAGTTTCATAGGAGATTTGTGATGAAGATATATCCTTTCCCTTTGAGCGGCAAGTGATACTATAGACTAAGGATAAGCTTGTGTTATCCAGTGATCTCATATTCAGCTTGGATTAGTGTGGAAAGAGTCATGTTGTTGTTGTCAGTTACTTGTATTTATTATTCGCAACATTGTATTATATCAAGTTCCATTTATATAAAATATGGGACATTCTAGGTTTTACATATCAGAGCTCTTTTATCTAACAGATCTTTTGCTCTCAAGTTTCAGTGATAATGAACCATGTTACAGCAAAAACGTCAAAAAGGATGTGATTGTTACAAAAACTCCTCAGCCTTATCAAGATCATCCAAAATCTCAGTCTTAACCTCGTCAGGAAGTGGTGCAGAAGGACCTGCCTTTGAGTAAAATTTAGCCAAAGCTCGGATTACATTCTCCAGCTCCGCGTATGATTCCTGAAACACAAACAATGGATTAATCGAATTACAGTTCATGGACTGTGAAGCAAGAAGATTGGAGATAAGAAAGAATAATATAGACTACTGACTTCTCCAGAAACAGCCTTTTGTCCTCTCCAATTGCTCAAATAATCACGAATGGATTCTTTAGCAGCATCAGCGCTTCTTCTGAACTTAGCATTGTCTTTAGGGTTCTCTTTCAATGACTCCCTCATCGTTTTCACAACCTCTCTTGCAGATTTCAAGTAGGCTTTTGGTAACTCTTTGCCAGACTTTGTTCTCTCGTTAGGATCAAACAAAGTCTTGAAAGCACCAACTACTCCTTCTCCTTCTTCTACTTTTTCCTCCGCCGCCGCCTGAGCTTGTAATCCAGAAAACTCAAGTGTAAGTGTGGCTACGAACGAAGAAGCAACAACACAGTTCAAGAAACCACGGCGGTCAAACAAAGATGATTGGCCATGAGATCTCCCCTGAAGCTTTTCATCTGTTTTGTAGCAAATTTTTCTCAAACTGTTAAAAAAACTTTTAGAAATTCTTGAAATCAATGCCAAGACTTGTTTGCCTCAACAACACTCGAAGCCGAAGAATTCAAGAAGAGAAGAGATTAAAGAAGAAACTTGTTTACATTGATGGTTCGATTTGGCTGGTTGATGCATCAAGGTAGGAGAAAAGTTCATAGCGGCTACAAGGAAACCCATGAATCTATCTACACAACTACAGAAGTGCCTTCCAGTTTCAGGAGAGAGATGAAAGATGGATGGTTCGTGTTGTTTGCGTAAAGGACGATTTTGCCCTCTATGTTCAAGATGATAAAAAAAGTAAATTAAAGATAAACGCTAGAAGGAGGGGTCGAACCTCCGACCTTGTGGTTAACAGCCACACGCTCTAACCAACTGAGCTATTCCAGCTTTTTGTTTATATTTTAGGTGTAAATATTATTGAATAAGTTTAGGTTTACTTCAGTGAATTGTATCACAATTTTTCTATTTAAATCATTTATTATATAGTTCAATAAATGATCACATATATGGAGACAAGCGGCAGAAAGCAGGCACTAATTGTTTATAAAATTGGTTTGAATATGCATGGACCTATATGTAAAGCTTAAGCCAACATCCGTCTCTGAGGATTCTCCTATTTTGTTTTTGTCTCACCTTGAGTTATGTGCATGTAAAAATCTCATGGAAAGAATCACCTACAACAACAGATCTCCATATTTTGCTGAAATTGAATTCCTATATATGCTTGATATGTAAACTTTATATTCTTATTTGGCCATGATAGCATAATAAACCCCAACGTACAATAGAATTAAAAAAAAAAAAAATCATGATGGTATAATAACAATTCGAAAAATATCCAGACTTAAAATATCCGAATAAAACGATTATTATAATTCCATGTAAAAATTATCTCCATATACAATTCCTTAGATTCTATAATTTGTTTTTGATGTGGATGTAACATGAGAAGTGAGAACAGCAAGAAAAGCAGAAAAAAGTCAATCTTCAATACATATATCTCGAAACATGATTAGATACGTTACGAACAAAAAAAAAGAAGAAGAATAGTACCAATTTTGTCAATCTTTTACTATTTGTTGTCATGGCCCTAAACCGAACGTTTTAATTTCTTGGTAGTTTCTCCAAAAGACAAACTTTTAATACAATCATACATCATATGCATAACAATTGACACTAAAATTTCACAGGCAAAAGTGTCCTTGATTTTATTTAGAATGGTAATTAATAACAACAAAAAGATTAAAAGCAATTTAACTAGCATGCGATCGAGACAAAAACCCACGCCTCTCTCGATTTTCTCGTATCATTACACTATAATTACATATTTAACTTTCAAATTGTTTTTGTCCTAACGCGTTACAAAAGTGAATAACAATAAGTTACACGGCAGCATGCATAGAATATATGCCACACGTCAGCTGATCCGGTGGCCGTCTGATAAGAGAGAGACGAGAATGTCGGCGAAAGCTCTGATAATGAACTTGTGTGTATCGGCGGCATTCAAAGAGAGGTAACTGTGCAACAGCTCGTGCAAGAACTCGTAACGGCGAACATCTCCGGCGTTTGTAGCGGCGTCCAGCATCTCCTGCATTGATCTCCGGAAGTCGTTGTAAGGATCAGGGGATTCCACGTATTCTTTCACGGCCGTTCCTCCTGTGATCAGAAGCCTAGTGGTTGTAGTGGCAGTATCGTAATCATCACGGCAGCGGAGGTCCGGCGAGTCAGTGATCGAGTTGGAGCGACCAGGAGACGAGAAGAAGAAACGACGGGAGGCTAAAACGGTGGTTAAGTCAGGAGGGGGAGAGTCGTCGCCAGGGGAAAAACCGTAAGTATCACTGTCATCGTAGGAGGCGGAGGAGGAAGAAGAGTTAGCGGCGGTGGATGTGGAGGCGGTGAAGGTGGAATTAGAGGGTACAACGTCGTCGATGAGAGGCTTAGCTAGGCGGCGTCTGGCGGCGGAGGAGTCGTCATAGAGGAGGTTGAAGTTGTTGATGAGAAGAATGGATGGACGGTTGGGATCGTCGGAGGTGGGAATATGATCGGAAGGAGAAGATTCAGAGGGCTCGGTGAGATTTGATGGGAAGCAAAGATGGAAGCTCTTCCACATGACTCTTGGCATTGCTTTAATTTGTTTGTTTAGAGAGAAAGAGAGTGAGAGAGAATATGTTTTGAGCAAGTGGATTAATAGCTAAAGCTAGGTGTCTTTCATTTGTTTGATAGTATTGTATCATGTCCATATGTATTTATATGTCGTCTTCCCTTATGTTATGTAATATATGTAATGTACCACCATGTATGTATGTATAATGTATTATATTTACGCCATGCATCGTGCTTTGCTGTAATTCTTAAGACCAAATTATCATTTCAGTTATTTTGTCTGGATTAATACAATTTTACAAAAGTATATTATTATTATTAACAGTAATATATCTAACTCCAAATTTTGTTTGTTTGTTCGTTTGAGGGGTTTTAATTTAGTTGCAATGTTTATTTCCTAGGAGAAAAGTCACTTATTTAGTACTAAATTTTATTTCAATAAATTATAAATTCTATTTTATATCTGTATTGAAAAAATATAAAAATCTTCTTAATAGATTAAATTTTACTCAAATAAGATAATAAAATTTAACATTTAAATGTCGATTAATTTAAAATGAACTTAAGAATATAACTTTTAAAACCCTTTATGAGTTTTTGTCTCTATAGTATACGTAAAAAACTCAATAAAGAAAAGGTCAATGGTACGTAAAAACATGAAAAGCTTCAACGCGTAAAGTATTTGTCTTTTGGCATAAATTTGATAAAAGAAAATAAAGTTTGTAAGATATTTATATGTTTTCATCATGATGTATATATCATGTTGTGTTAGCTTCAAGTCTTCGATAATCAAATCCAAAACAGTGTATATACACTGATTATCTTGATATTTTTCACCTTTTCTGAATGTATTGGTAAAAATCTGTGGTGAAAGAGCAGGACCGTTATGTTTAGTAAATAATTTTACTTTTAGCAAAAAAAAAAGGAAAAGTAAATAATTTGACTCGTTACAATTAAGAACTCAAGAGTCATATGTATACCATATTCCCTATATCAAAATTGGCACAGAGGAGGAATTATTGTCCTTGCAAATATATATGCATACAACAAGAACTCACGAGGAGGCAATGTTTGGACTAACCTAAAATCTCATGACTCAAAGACGAGAGCTCGATGTTTGTGCAAAGTACACTGACTCCACTAGTCACTTCACTTCTCATTTCTCATCTTAACTAATCTTTGTTCTTCCCTTTAATTCTCATCTTAACTAATCTTAATTTGTTCTTCCCTTTTTTTCTTTTTTTTTTAAAAAATTATCTTTTGGACCGCTAATTTATGTTTCTTTAACAACCATTTCACCACATGATCATGTTCGATTAATTTCGGGACGAGTTTGGTCTTCGAAAAAGAATTATTCCGTTAGTTACCAAAATTTATGATAAAAGTATTCCAAATAGATTATTTTGCAGACTAAAAGTTTTCATCAACAATAATACTTTAGATATGATCAATCTCTGACGTCGACGGGAACATGCCAAAAGTGGTGACTGATGAGTGAGATATCATACAACATTACCTGCATGAATGATTTATATAAATATCGATCTATATATACGAGATCGAAAAGAATAATATGGTAAGTTATAAATGCTTGTAAAACGAAAGGCCTTTATGCCCTAATCATTGTTTGGTGTATGTATAACTAAAAAGAAATGGTATCAAGATGTCAGATATGATGATTTGTACAGAAACTTTTAGCCCCACAAGTTGTCATTATCTTTGGAAGGTACATTGAGATCAATTTCTATTTTTGTATTATTTTTTTTTTGAATTCATATCATATAGTTTTATATCACAAGAGGAATCTCATAAAACGCAGATGGGTGGTTCTTTTCTTGGGGTATCTCTCTCTCTTTCAATCTCTGTCACACAGTGTTGTTGCTATTGTAGGGACATGTCAAAACTTGTCGACAAAAGCTCCATTAATTGGAAACATTGATATCCAAGATTCAAATCACATGATTCTCGAAGTTGTAAAATTTGTCGAGTGTGAACATCAGACTCACATAAAACTCCATTGTAGATCTCTTGTCATATAAGACAGTCACGTTCACTATCGTTTTCAAACCCTCTCTCTGTATATACTGCCTGATTGCAATATAACAATTTTGTCATGGACCTACCGATCCCTGTGACACCAAGCTGGTTAGGGTCCGACTAAAATGATCGAGTTTATTATGTATTTATGTCATCTTGTATAGCATAGCTTCGTAATAAACACGTATAAAATAAAAAAACCTTAGTGTATATTTTTTATTGATATACTGCAAAAGAAACTGATTTTTTATTTATTGCTATTACATCAGCTATATAAATTTATAAGGCTTTATGTATATTTTTGCTAGAAATAATCTAAAACAATAATGACTTAAATCACCCAAAATAACAAAACCTGAATTCAAATCTGGTCCGACCCGATCCGACTAAGGCCTTTTAAAGATAAGTCCATGAAGGCCCAAGATTTGGAATGTGAATATTTTGATACATTTGATGTAAATGTAAAGGCTCGAGTTCTCCGTTCTTATTAGATCAAAACTCTTAACCCTATAATATATACATTGCTTCATCCGAGGTAGAGAGTTCTTGTCCTTCCCCTTCCCAATACCGCTCCCTGGAGTGTGACGGACTTTGCTTCAACCCCTGTCGTAGAAATCTTGAGGCTTTCATGGGCAAGAACGACTTGTTCATCGTCGAGATCCTCTGAAATCAATCGGACTCGGAAGTCTCTGGAGATTGTATGTTCTCTCTTTCTCCCTTTTGCATCAGTTTCTCATCGGCTTTAACAATGGATCCCGTGTGGCTGATTTGTAGCTTTCTGCTTTCGAAACTCTTCTTTTATCAAATTTTTATGCATGCGTTTCGATTTGGATCTTTTCTTGACAATCTTTGTTTTTGGATCACAACTGATGCTTAAGAGTATCATTTCACGGTTCCTTTGTTATCTTTTCTTTTGTTTCTATGGGAACTGAGCTATATATATGATTTGGTTTGATTAGTGGCATTGAAATGCTATATTGAATAACTTTATTGTACATATGTGGTTGTAATGTCCCTTTTATATGTTTCGTTTAGCATTATGTGTATCAGGTCTGACTCTCTTCTATGTTGTTCTTATTGAAGCTTCCATTGGTTTTGTGTTTTAGTGCAGGTGTTGTATCATGGACTCCATGGACATTGATCACAGTAACCGAGTTGAGCCGCCTCTTCTTATTCTGAGACCAGTAAATCCAATGGAGTCTGGTCAAGGTTTACCGTATGCTCCTGAGAATTGGCCTAATCCCGGAGATACTTGGCATTGGAGGGCAGGACCCAGAGTAAGCAGCAAAGGCCACTTTGTGGATAGATACTTATATCCTCCTAAGCATCTTCCGGGTTTAGATACTGAAATAATGCCGAAAAATAAGGTCTTTCGGAGCAAGCTCTCACTCGACCGATACATTCGTCGCGCCTTCCCTGATGCAGATGTTCGAAAGTTCTTTGCTTCTTTCAGCTGGAAAATACCCTGCAGAGATGGTCAGTTTCAATATACTCTAGGCATATCTTATCTACTATATTCAAATTACGTACAATTCCAAATGACTTGCTATGTTTTTCCTTTTGCTTCCTGAGTTATCAGAACTCAGATTATGCGTCATGAATGTTTCTGTTAGCTCTTAACTCTATGAATTACTCATTCTGAAGTCTGAAAGAATATCTGTTTTCTTGGCATGATGATTTGTTCTCTGTTTTATAGGCGTTATGCATCAGAAGCAGGCTTTATTGCCAGTGTATAGCTCAGATGAAGATCCAATGCATGATAATGGATCTGATATTGTCGTTTGTAAAGCTGGTAATCACAACTGTGGGAGCCTGATGCCACAAAGTGAATCCGACACTTTACCTTCTATGCCTTGTAACATTTGCTGCGGTGAACCTACTTTCTGCTCTGATTGCTCTTGCATCCTTTGCTGCAAATTAATTAGTTTGGAACATGGTGGTTATAGCTATATCAAATGCAAAGCTTTGGTTTCCGAGGATCATATATGTGGACATGTTGCTCATTTGAACTGTGCTCTTCGAGCTTACATGGCTGGAACCATTGGAGGCAGGATCGGGTTGGATGCTGAATACTGCTGCAGGCGATGTGACGCCACTAAGGACTTGGTTCCACATGTCAACAAGTTCCTAGAAATATGTCAGACTGTAGAATACCAAGGCGATGTGGAGAAGATCCTGAATCTCGGTATTTGTATCCTGCGAGGCTCACAAAGAGAGAACGCTAAGGAATTATTAAATTGTATCGAATCAACAGTCATCAAGGTACAAAATACTTTAGAAAATGTAATGTTTACTGGATGTTGCTGAACCTAAAGCATAATGTTTTTCAGCTTAAGTGCGGCACAAACTTGGAAGATCTTTGGAATGGTGATAATACACCAAATATATGGTCAGGTACATTTCCCTAATCACTATCTTTTGCTTTCTGATTATGTATTGAAGTTAATTTAGTATTCATTATATAACAGATTATCTTTATTCTGGTTGTAGATTTATCCGACAGTGGAGAAGTGAAAGACAATGATACATTGCAAAGCTTACAGGACGTGACCCCAATTGGGCCCATACCATTCAATCATGAGGCCGAGATGCACAAACTCGAGGAAGAAATCGGCGAGGTTCTAAAAGCGCTGAGAACGGCTCAGGAATGTGAGTACCAAATTGCAGAAGTCAAACTTCATGCTCAGAAAGAATGTCTCAGTGATCTGTATAAGCAACTCGAGAAGGAGAAGTCAGAGCTGTCGAGGCGAGTATCAGGTACAGATGCAAATAGCTTAATGACGAATGTGTTGAAGAGATTGGAGCAGATAAGAAAAGAAGTCATAAAGCTTAAAGAAATGGAAGAAGTGGCTAAGGGATTTGGCAGGACACCTAGAGGAGTTCTTGAAGACTACTTTCATCTAAGCATCGAGGACTAAGATTAAATCATAATTGTACATTTGTTATGACGTTTGTCTGCTAAGTTTTGTATTCTTCCTCATCGTAAATCTGACTTTTGCTTGACCATTATTTATAATCATGAGGAGTTAAAACTTAAAATGCATAGGCAATGAAAATATATAGAGATAGGTCGAAAGTTTGGGTGGAACTGGTTGTATACAAAGTTTCCATGGGGATATAGATCGTCGTTTCGTTCCATTCAATGATGACAATGATTCAAAGAATAAAACACCTACGCCGCATATATATAGGGTTCATAGTGGGCTTCACTTTCATGGGCTTCAAATTTTGGGCCTACAGTTAGTATGAATCGGCCTTTCCCTTGCACCAATCCTCTTTTTAAAGGTTTTTGTTTTGTTTTTGTAGTGATCGGTGGTGGTTCACTGGTTCTGGTAAGCGCTCGGATTTTTTAAGAAAAAAGCTAGATGGGCTTGGTGGGACTGTGTCTGAGTTTTGCCTGACCATTTTATTCATAATCATTTTACCAGTTAAAATGCATTAGAACTGGTAGTTACAATGAAAAGATCTTGTTACATCTTCAATAACAATATTCTTACAGAACCATCCTTCATAAAATGGGATTCAAAATGACAATTTGGAATTAAGAAACTTGTAGCCATCATCAATAAGCTAAATAACCTTAAAGTGACAAATACATCGTGATGAACATCGAGCAGAACATATATAATTGTTTTGTCTTCTCTACGCAAGTTCGTACTGAGGGGTATTTGTGGTGGAAGCTTCACGGTTCTTAAGTCTCTGTCTTCGTTGAGCTCTTTTCTGTTTGCGAGTCTGCGTTTTGCCTGAACCCTTTGTAATAACTGGCGCAGGAATGCTCTCTGATGGCTCTGAACCACCAAATATAATGTCAAGAGCATCTTCTTCCACCATCTGGCCATTCGGGTTTCCCTGAACACAAGATTTCAGTTATAATAATACTGGAAACCAGTCCTTCTCCAAACTGATGCCCACAAGCCTTTTCAGAGGCTTTATAATTAATTAACTAATATTAGATAGTACTCACCAAACTATTTTGGTGAATGGGTTTAGTCTTTGAAGCATCAGATCCATTGGAAATGTTTCGATGAGAAGGCTTTGGTAAGCCGTTGTGGTTTTTCTGAGATTTGATTACATTGACATCATCATAAGATGAGGCAAGTTCTGTGAAAGTGGTTCTTCTACGCCAACGCATTTGAGGTTTGTCTCCTTCATCACCGTAAACAGCTTCGGGATAGAAATGCTTGGACATAAGTTGCCACCTCCAAGATTCACCTCTATTCGACTTGACTAAGCTGTAGTTTGGAAAAATGTCCACCAAATCAAGAGTTAGAAGAATCAGACTAAGAATGATATATTGTATCTTATAATCACCAAACAGCTAAAAAAAACTCACAAGTCAATAACACAACAAGACTAGAAAAGAGGGAACTCTCATGGATGCTTACACATTCACGAGCTCTTTCTGCATCCGTGTCCCATCTTGACTAAGGATACGATCAAGGTAAGTAACTGCAGTTTTCGAACTTGCCCTATCCCAAGCAACAAGCAAACTTACACTAGCCACTCCTGCGTGGAGTTGAAGAGAGGAAAAATAAAAATAAAAAATTCTAAAACCAATGTGCGAAAGTGGAAACCATTATTATTTCCAAATAGTTGCAAATAAATTAGTTACCAGCTGCAAGAGCAAGCCTCTCTAGTCCTCTCGGCGCTTTCAACTTTTTCGTCACTACACAGAGAATCAAATCAAATCAGAAGAGGAAACGAAAACTATGTATTATAAAGTGTTAGGTTACATAAGACAACAAGACTTAAAATTTCCTTATTGCGCCTTCATAGAGCTGATTCAGAGCTCCAAATAGGACCAACTCCATTAAAAACTATGAGGAATTAAAAGAGTCAATGTGAACCTTGCCAAGTTAAACCTCCTCCAACACCAGACGCAAACCCAGCAGTCCACAAACCTTTGAGATGGCACGAGAGAATAGTAGTTTGCTCTTCGGGAGTGATCTTCTCCTAAAACAGAGCAAGAACTTCAACATTTTACCCAAATTTGAACAATTCATACAATTCTCAAACTTAATTCTTCATCGAACAAAATTCAAATTCCCTAAAATTCAGAAGAAACCTTATCGGAACAAAGAAACAATCATTTATGAACTGAGACCTGTTTCGATTTAAGATTTGGTAAACCTTGATTGCAGAAAAAAAAGAGATTGATTTTTTTGGGCACTGATCTAGGGTTTAATTGAAAAGATAAGAAGTACATACCTGCTCGGGTTTTGTCGCGAGGACATAGTAGAGCTCATTCAAAGCGCCCATAGCCATTGTTGTTCTTAAAGATTCTCAGCTTTTTTTCTTTCTAGAAACGAATCGGACAAGTGATTGATTACTTTTTCTCTCTCGCTCATTCATGCCCGCATCGATCATGGAAGAACCGGTTCGAATCTGATCATGTTCGGTTTATTTATATTAAATTACCTTAATACCGACAATATCCTCTACTGATTTTTCAATACATCAAGTACAGAAGGTTTAGAGAAATACATACCGAACCAAACCACAAATCCAAAGCGAACCGTATCCAAAACAAAAAAATGAGAGTGGTTTCGTTAATTGGGTTGTGAAAACGTCGTCGGTTTTTACCTTCCTTAATTCTGACCAAAAAGCGTTTACACTCAGTTCTCACAGTGAATTGAGATGAAACAAACAACTACTACAATGGAATTGCCTACCATTATACAACTACACAGTAACAATAGTTCATGATTTCCATATGACTATACCTACAAGAAGACAAGACGTCAATGCTTGAAATGAAGCAACCAGAACAAGGAATAACTTTATTTCCTCTTAAAGTTTCTAAGTTGGTGTCATTGCGCTAGCCTTTGATTCTGATTCCCTATACAAACTCCCCGAAGCTGAAAACATCCACAAAACCTCCCGATTTACATTCTTTGCTGCTTGGACCATCATGTGTCTCAGGAGATCCATTGTTAGTGACAGCAAACTCGAACCATCCATCACACAGCTTTGGCTGTACTCAAGAACCCATGTATTTGGATCTAGTTGCAGAACCGATGTGCTCCATTTGGTTTTTTCCCACGAATCATTGGTCTTGCGTGTCGTGTAACCGAATTTCCCATCTGTCCACTTCAATTAGAACATAAACAAACATAAGAATCATATAAAACTCACAGTTTCCGGCTTAAGTGAATTGACTCAAACTCTAAGTTATCTGTATAAACCAATCTTTTTGCAATATATTTCCTTATTTCAAGTATAGAATTACACAAACAGATACCCACAAATAAAAAGCATTGACATTTGAATCCGTATTCAATGGTAAGGCTGTGGAAGCATAGATTCAGATCGGTTACCTCAGTTACTCGGCCTGATAATACTGTGATCGAACTTGAGGAGAAGCCAGTATGAAACAACCCGGCTGTCTGCAAAGGCCATCCCCATATACTAATCTCTTCAATGGCGGATTTGTAGATAACACACTTTGAGTTCAACATTGGACCATTCTAGAAACGTAATTTCCAAATCAGTTAAATCAAAAGTATAAAACTTTGGGACAAGAATTAGTGAGCCAAATAAGTACCTGATTGATCTGCCACTTAGAATCAGAACCGCTGCTACTCGAAATCGTGCCACTGTAAGCAAAACCCATTAATTCGTCTTCCAAGAGTTTCAGCTTCACGCCCATTTCAACATCACCCTGAGATCTCTCACCAGCGTTCCTCACTATCTCCTCTGTGAATTGGGGTTTCAAAACCCCTTGAAGCACCCAACGAAACCCTAATTCCAAACACAGAACCAACACAATCCAGAAGACAACTTTCAGAACAACACAAATCAGTAGGCTTTTCCTCTCCTTCTTCGTCGTCTTCCTCTGTTCTTCATCATTCTCAGAAACTATTGGTTTCTTGACCTTCTTCTTCTTGGGGGAAGAGATCATCATCACCTTCAACATTGGGCGAGAAACCGAAGCAGGTGTGGCGACAACACTGGGATCAAAAGAAGTGGGAGTAGATTCAACGGTGGGTTTGAAATTGGAAGCAAAAGAAATCTTGGTGAGGGAGCTTTTCTGAACACTAAGAGGCATGAGATCGAGCGTTGCGTTGAGACTATCAAGACAAATCTCGCAGCTACAATTCGCGTCTTTACGACAATCTGGGAAGTAACAATTACTGTCTCTTCTCTCTGAATCTTCAGTAGTAGTAGTAGTTGTAGTAGTTGTTGTTGTTGTTGTACTGGATGCCATTGATTCCTCCGATGGTGAAACTGAGCTCTTTCTTTTCATAAGGATTCTTTTGTTGTTGTATCTAAGATTCTCGTTGGCTTTTTAAGATTTCAATCTCTCTCTATTTTTTTTTTTTTTTTAATTTTTTTGAAATTTAAATCTAAAGTCCCAACGGTCCTCTGATATCGGCTGTTTCGTTTCAATTAAATGACTAGTATACCCTTCATTACGACGTGTCTTTCTCTTTTTGGGCCGGATTCTAGTTTGGGTCCAGTTCTTTCCTTTTCGGATTGGGTCCGTTTAATATTTTTATCCCATCAGCTAAGGTCAGAGATTGATTTACGTTAACGATGAATTTACGTTGGGATCTAAACATTATAAATCATTTTCGTAATACCAGAATAAAATAAAATTTAAAGTTTCTTTTGGAAACACCTACCCAACCTATAAATACTTGAACGTGGCGTCATCTACGTCCCCATTAGAGAGGGTATTGATTTGATTGTCTTTAATTCGTTCAACAAATTAGTAATTACTAAAGTTGCGATTTTACTTTCTATTGGCAAAGGATGACGAAGTACTAGACTATGTTGACACGTCATATCACTAATGTAATCACGCTATATACGTCTTTTGATATTAAATAAGTACTTTTTTTTGTTGGTCTCATACGTGAATGATATGTCCCAAACGCGGAGAAGATGAGTCAGAAACACAAGCCCCTTCGATTTTTTTGACAATGATAAATGCTGTTAATTTGATAACTCGTACATGTTCTTTAACCAAGACCATAGTAATAGTAGGGTTTTAATGTTTTTTCTCCTAAACCATCATGTTTCGATAAAGAGGATATATATATTGAGATAGACTCGTGGAAATTGTGGCTTCAAATAAAGCTAATTACACTATATTGATTGATTATTGACTTAAGTATTGTGAATCAAAACACATGCAGACGTATACTTTTTCTTAGTCATACCTTGACATTTATGATTTTGTGGTTACAGAAGCAAACCTAAATCTCAATTTAAACCAAAAATAATATATTAAAAAAAAAAAGGGAATTACCAAACTCAGAAACTAGCTTTCTTCGGTATGAGTTAGTTAAGGTAGTTGAGCATCACAAAAGTCAAAATCCAAATCAACCTTTGGAGTTACCATATCATACTTTTCTCTCGATCGGCTATATATATAATCATGTAACACAAACTCATATAACCATTTCATTTCTCTACAAAACCCCAAAACAAAAAAATGAACACCAAAACTTTCCTAGTCTCAGCTTTGATCTTCTCTCTGCTCACAAATCCTCCATTATCGTCGGTTCTTGCTCAAATCAGTACCCCATGTTCACCAGCCATGCTCTCGAGTGCTTCAGGGTGCATGAGTTTTCTAACGGGGGGTGGTACTTCTCCTACCTCAGATTGTTGCGGGGCTCTTAAATCGTTAACCGGAACCGGTATGGACTGTTTGTGCCTGATTGTAACCGCAGGTGTTCCAGTTAATATTCCTATTAACCGAACCCTAGCCATCTCTCTGCCTCGTGCATGTGGCATGCCTGGTGTCCCCGTTCAATGCAAAGGTAATATATCTATATAAAGTCGACATTAATATATTTCCACAGATGTGTTGTTTTTAGTTTAAATATGAATTTTGTGTGTATTCATGTCTGAGTAAAATATTTTGTGAAACTTTGCAGCTACAGCAGCACCTCTCCCTGCTCCAGGTACATTTGTTTCTGTTAGGTTTATTTAGTAGTAGCTCCTTACAACTTTAAAGGTATATGTTATTAACAAATTAAAGCGCATCGTTTGTAATCTACAGGGCCTGTGTCTTTCGGTCCGACCACTTCTTCTACAGACTCGCAAGCTCCTGATTCTGAAGGTAGAGTAAATGGATACTTCAGACTGCTAGTTCTAAGTTGGAACCTCTAACTGATCGTAAATTCGTTCTTTATTAATTAACTATATACGAAACTCGCAGGTCCTCCTACTTTTTTCGCCCCGACCACTTCTCCGACAACTTCGCTCAATCCTAATGGTAAACCAAATTAATTCTTATGTATTTAAAAGTACAAAACCAATTTTCACATAATTTTTTGTTACTAATATTTTCGAGTTTTTTGTTTGACAAGTAGACCAGGAACTTCCAAGATCCGACGACAGAGGAGACCGGACAGGTTTAACTCCGCCTCCGTCAGCCTCGTTGCCTTCCACTTCGCTCTCTCTCAAGCTTTCGCTTCTTCTATTTGCTTTCGCCTTTGAGGTTATCAAATTCTTCTAATTAGAGAGCAATTCTATATCACAAGATAGTTATTTACTGTCCTTTTTATATTTTACCTGATTCTGTTTAGAATAGTAATGTATCGAAGTTTTTGTTGTATTTGGTGTACTGTGTACCAGCTGTATTTAATAGTCCTATTAATAAAACAGTTTTCATAATTTTATCCACACCAATTCAGTTGTGATGCATTTTACGATGAGACTCTGAAAGATACCAAAAAATCAGAGAGATGGACAAAGCTATATGAACAAATCCAAAATAGCATTTGTGCGTACACCAACATTTCCCCCATATAATCTCTCTCTCTTTCTAATTTACTTCCACCCATCAGACCACTCATCTTCTTCCTTGGCTACAAACTCAGCTCTGGTTTCAAACTCACCATCAATCTTGATCTCTTCACCACAGCTGCCATTATTCCAAGCACTACAATATTCTTCTTTTTCCTTTGTTCCACCATTGTTGCTCACTCCATCAGACCATTCGCCGTTCTCCTTTGTACCACCATTCTTGATCTCGCCACTATCGTTCCACTCGCCTTCGTGAGGGTATTGAGGAGCATTGCTGCTTCCTTCTGGATCGAGCCCGTTTTTGCCCTTGTTCCACCCATCAGACCATTCATCTTTCTCCTCTGTGCAGCCATTGTTGTTCCACCCACCAGACCATTCATCTTTTTCTTTTGTGACGCCATTGTTGTTCCAACCATCAGACCATTCACCTTTCTCATTTGCACCACCTTTGTTGAGCTCTCCACTGTTGTTCCACTCAGCTTCTGGAGGGTATTGAGGATAATTGCTGCTTCCTTCTTGATTGAATGGTTCCTCCACAAACTCCTCCCGCTCGGGTAAACCGCATCCTTGATAAGCATTATTATCCACACATCGCCACAAAAGCTTGTTCCAGTTCATGTCCTGTTTCATATAGCAGTTTCTGTTAGCTGGGAGGTTGGGAATGATGACACTGCATTATGTATTTGTCTAGAATACGCAACTAAGTGGTACCTTGCATATGATATGGGGGTTTCCAATAATCACTAGCAGGGAGATTGCACGGGTTATAGCAACATTAAACCTCCTTGGATTGCTCAGGAAGCCCAGACAATAAGCTCTGTCGAACTCGTTGTGTTTTATAGTAGATCTTACAGTTGAGATGATGATTACCTGTTTCTCTTGCCCTTGGAATTGCTCCACACTACCAACTTTGACTTCAGTCATCTCTAACCTGTCAAGAACCTCCTTGATCTTTGTTACTTGCTGTCTGTAAGGAGTTATAACTCCAATATCCTCTTCTTGCACACAGTCATTCGCTGTTAATCTCTTGATGGTCTCTATTACTTTGCTGATCTCTATGCGGTTGAACCATGATGGATTGTTGCCTTCCCTCTCATCGCATCCTTGAATCCCATAAAAAACCATGGGAAATTCTTTGTTTGGAAGGAAATTTAACGAGGCAAGAACAGAGTCTGTGTCTTCTTTGGAAGCTACCAGTTCTCCATCATAGAAGAGACTGGATGGGAGATCAAGAATCTCTGGGTGGCATCTGTAGTTCTTGACTAGCTTTGTCACATAACTCTCATCCCCTTCGCAGTAATAATCGCACTCAAACAATCTTTCCAAGTAGGATTTCCCCAAGCCGAGTGACTCAGCATCTCTTGAGTATATAACAGGACCCAACTGCCTTGGATCTCCAGCAAGCACAACCACTGTTTCTGACAAGCAAAGATTTGATATAGCAATCATGTTTTCTGGCTCTGAAGCTTGCCCAGCCTCATCCAAGAAAATGTGAGTGAAATGACCACGGTTAACACCTTCTGCATTAAGAAGGGATGCACTCATATATGTTGAGACAACGAGTTTGTAACGATTCAATGCTTTGAGAGGTGGACACTTGAAAATTAACTCATCAAAGAAGCAAAAGCGGATAATCTCAGGCTTAATTTCTTCATATGTCCGAGTAGCTGCATTCAGCCTGAAAATCTCATTGTCCTTGATGCGAACTCCTTCCAGACAAAGGAGTTTCTCTAAAATGTGATCAGCTGCACTATTGGAAGGGGCACATACAAGAATCCGAGCATTCTTCTGAGTTGTATAGAGTTGTACTATAGCCTCCACCAATGTCATAGTCTTCCCAGTACCAGGAGGTCCATGGATCACATATGGTGGTGCTCCTTTGCAGCCAAGAATCATTTCAATGGAACAAATTTGCTCCGCATTAAGAGCTGGTGAAATGGGCACAATGGGTTTCGTCTTTATAATCCTTTTCCCAGAGTGCAAGGACGGGAAAAGGAAGTTGCGATCCAAAGTTTCTGCAGCATCAACAGCCTGATACAACCTTCTAGTGTTGATTCGATTGTATGTGAACCTCACATTATAGACACTCCCGGCTGTGTGGCGTTGGTGGAACTCAGGGGCAAATTTCAAATGCACTTCATCTGCCTCTACGCGGTGTATAAACCCCTGTGCGAAATGGGTTTCAATGTGTTATTTTTCAGTTACGAGGTGGAAAGTGATCTGAAAGTATGAAGAAGTAAATCAAGAAAAAAAAAACCTGATAAGCTTGGTCAGTTCCATCATCATAGGCATTTCTTACAAAGATATAGTCTCCATGAACAAGGGAAGGTCTTCTCTCAGCAAGGCCAGGAACTTCGAGGGACAAGTAGAGACCCCTTCTCTTCAGCGAAACATTCTCCATATCATAAGCTCGCATGTCTTCCTAAACAATGAAAACAATACAAGAAACATGACTCATGGCAAAATACAAGAGGTTTAGTAGTAAGATCCTGTTACTAGCAAAAATTTTAAACAGTGAGGATACCTCGAGTTGTAATTCTTCCATGATAAGTAAATATTTGTAGTAGTTTGCATAGTTGTTTGCTGTAAGACCTTCGTTCAAATCATCCGGCATTTCCTTCTTCTCGATCATCTCTCTAATCTCCTTTGGAATTTCATACCGAGGAAGCCTATTTTTAAACCTACGTTCTACTGCCTTAGAAGGGCGTGATCCCATCACATAATCATCCACAGCAAAATCTTTCTTTGGAGCCCTTCTACTTCTGGAGTAAGGCCTCTTAGAAGTAAGAGAGGTTGATATATTATCCTCGGCCAAAAGGAAAACAACCCGCTCGGCCCTATCGATTCCCCAGTCAACAGTAATAACAGTGGTGTGTAAACCGATGTCCTTGGGCTTACAAGAGACCCAAATAGTTAACGTGTCACCAGGCTCAAGCATCCTGTCTTCCAGAGTAAATGTTTCATAAAAACATTGTATCTCTTTAATGTCTGAATGTTTGGACGGCGGTTTCAAGATGGAGAGGGTAAAAGAATCCTCAGGGTTTGATGCATAAATTTTGGTCCACAAATCTACAGGCTCATCCATAGTGTTCTTGACAGTGAAGGAATCAAAAGAAGTCTCTCCAACAAGTATAGATTGAGGCTTCTCGTTCTTAAACGGGAAAGGAACAGAAACAACAACTGGACCTTCATCTAATGGATTGTAGCAACCAGCAGATCCATCATTCTGATAGTCTATAAATCCAATCTCTCCCTTGTCCGCGATTACAGAGTACTCATCATCAGACTTGTAGCCACTCACACTCATTGCTGATGAGAATCTGAAACATAAACACACAATTTTACACATTTACACCACACTCATGTAATGTGATTTGGTAAGACAACACATGCGGAGAAACAAACACAAGAACATTTTTATACTTGAATGATACAGATCAAAATGCTGATGAAACCGATGACTAACCAAAACTACAGAATCAGACTAGTGCGATCACAAACGACAAGGAAGTTCCTATGAATCTAAGGTTGATTAAGTTTTCGGAAATCAGAAAAGCTAAGAGAACTCAGAGCGTAATCAAACCCAAAACCCTAACACCAAAACCGAATTGAGCATGACATGAAACGAAATTGAGAGAATAGAACATACGTACTGAATCCTGTAACCAGAATGGCTGATACTATTGCGTCGATGACACCAAGAAATGGAGAAGCAATGAAGCCAGACTAACGCAGGCTTCAAAGGAAGGAACACATCAAAAGAGTGAGTGAAGAAGAAGACTGAAGAGACTTCGAATAAAATAAAAGCTTACTAAAAAATCGCAATTTGGGCCCCTTGGTTTTTGCATTTATCATGGGCCTAGAAATTTGTCAATCTATCAGGTTTCGAGTTATAAAGCCCAATCGATTATTACTACGGCGGACAAAAAAAAGGTGATCATCGCTTATGTTCTAAGAATTGACCTTTGGAGCCGTGATAATTGGATATTTTTTTCTGTCGCATGCAAATAAAAATAAATAAGAGCATTCACATTCTATCCTGTTAATCCGCATCGAAATTCTAAAAATAATTATGCTAACGTATAATTACAAAGTTATAATACTAGAATCTACTGATTTAGATGATTGGATTTATCGTTTAGGTATAATTGAATCTTAACGAAGCTTCATTGATGATGATTGTGGAGAGTAAGTTAACATATATTTTAATGTTTACATAATGGTGCTACAAAATACGTGTTTTTATCCTACGTTTATGTAGTAGTATTATTATTATGTTTCTTGGAAAGCCTTATAATATGTTGTTACACACATTAACAGTTATTAGAATCAATTCAATCACTATACATGTAGCAGATTTAATTGTGATGTTTCTTGTTTGGTTATTAGGTCGGTACGAGAGATGTCAGAATCAAGAACTAAGAAAAATATGAGTTTAGCAAATTAGATTTCGTGGTAAGCCCTAGACAAAGAAAAGATAGAAGTTGCTACTAGTTGCTAACTAGATGGGTAACAAGAGGAATCTTTAATAGAAATTTTGTAGATTCGTTTTTATTTTTGTTTATGTTCTGAGTGAAGTGACAATATATATGTTGTTAGCCTTCCTTGAGTGTCATTTCATAGCCAGTGACTTTTGTTATTGTAAAAATAATATTAAAAGACCTAAACACACAATAATAAATCAGAGAACTAATTCAACAATTGGTAAAAAAATTTGATAAAAGAGGCATGCTCTTTTGGTTAGTCTGCTACTAGCTTATCCTTTCCCACTCTCAAAAGCCTATACCTATCAAATCCATCTTCTTTTGCAACCTTGTTTTTTTTTTCTTTAATTTATTTTCAATATGCTTTGACAATTTTGTAAACACTATATATAGTCTTAGTTATAAAGCTAAAATGTAGTATGACTTTACTTTATATTGACTCGTACTCGTATATATATCAGAAATCACTAGCCATTTGTATATGGTTATACATAATACATGTTATAATCACTAGTTCACGATAGCAATTGTATCTTTAGCTTTTCGTGTGTAGTATGTATCCATAAAAATGACTATAAGTTATAGTTTGTGAGTTAGAAAAACAAGAAAAACTCAAAATAGAAGTTTAAAATAAAAAGTTTTAATAAATACTAGGAATTGTCTTGGAAGAAACACAACTGATCATTTGTCTGTGTAATTAATCATATGGCTCGAAATTTGACAAGAATTTATTAATTACTTAAGATTAATTAAAAGTAAATTGTTGTGAGTTGTGAATGCAACAAAAAAAGCTGAAAGAAGAAGAAGAAGAAGACAAAGCATGAGAGGAAACAGATAAAAAGACAAAGCATGATTTACACAAAAACACACTCTCTTCACTTTCAGGCTCTCTTTTCTTTAGTTTTTTTTAATCATTCCCTTCTACGTTCACTGGTCCAGTCTTTGTCTCTTACAATTTTTAATATCATTTTTCTCTTCTTTTTTTATTAAAAGATTTATAATACTACACAAATCGAAATCTCGGTTTTTGCAAAAGCTCTTAACGAAAAACTTGTGTGTACCCATCCATTTTAGAATCTTTGAATTTGTTAAAAATACAAAAATCTTTGCATTTCGTGAAAACAACATGTCACCTAAACTATATATCAAAACAAAATGTATATTTAAGTTTATGTATAGTAGTTTTTAGTTAGATTTAGCTTGGAATTTGATTACGATACTTTAGTATTGGTTTGACGACAGTAAGTTCCTAACCTTATTTCCATGGCTCATTTTAAACTTAAAGGTAAAAATTTAATCATTAGATTAAAATAGCCAAAAAGAACAAAAGATAAAAAAGTGAGCTTTGAGGTTTATGAAGCAACACAAACTTTTTTATTTTATTTTTTTCAGGCCTACGATAATTACAAGACGGTGGTATCACAGTTCACTTTTCCTTTTTGGAAATTATCATCAAATAAAGTGGAAATAGAATATTTCTTTTTGTATATATTTCCATATTCTTGACGTAAACTTTATATAATATAATTAAGCATTACAATATGATTATCTCGTGGACACGCCACTGCTAATTGTCTAAGAAAAGTAAACCCTAATGCATGCTAATTGCTAAAATCCAAAAAATGATGAGAATTTTTTTAAACAGAAAAAAAAAATCAAAGAACTTCCATCTGTCCACTTGGCAGTTTCTGATTGGGTTAGTTGATTGCCTGCCCAAAGCAAAATAAACAACATTAGTTATGTTAAAAAATTTACTGGAAATTTTGGTAATTAGTTTTTAAGCAACAATAATTAACTGAAATTATTACCTTGCAACGTTGCTCTAAAATTCACATCCACCGAAGTTAGCTATGATGAATACTATGAACCGGAGAGCGGTATGTGAGAATTGGTTAACCGAGGCCAAAATCATTATACAAAAACAACACATCCTAGTATCCTACACCTGCAAACCGGAAATTACACACGGTAAGATCAGTTAAAAATTGATAACCGGAAATGAAAAAATGTAAAATAAGAAACTGAGAAAATAGAGACTAACCATGTTCCCTTTGAGTTTAAAGTGGCAATGGCATGTCTCCATCACTCTCAAAGAACCAAATACACTTTAGTTCACCTGACAAAAGCCAATCCAATTCTACCATGAGTGAAAAAACAAATACATTTCATAATTTTTCTCAAGAAAAGGAATCCTGGTTTCAATAAAGTTTCAATATATTTTTTGAATCATTATTATGTTGCTGATGCACTGCAGAGTTTAAAGCAGTTCAGACAAAGATTTGATAATATGCAGTGGACAGTCTTATCAAGCTTCAAATGTTGGGTTCCTTATCCTAAATCTGGATGCAAAATCAAATGGGGTCCCTTCTCAAAATCAGTTGGGTGATCATAAATTATCTGGGAGAAGGGAGTTGCCTCATTTCTTGGTTGAGATTACACCTTTGCACATTAATGCAGACTTGTAGATTGGTCTCTCTATATAGACTTAATCTGTTTGAATCTCAGGACCACAGCTAACTTATGGACTTCTTTAGTTTTGGACCAGCTCAAGTCACTGACACAGTGACTCAACATTTTTATCTGTTTATGTCCTAATATGTCGGTTTGGTGATTATTAATCTAAATGTTTCAGGGATTTATTTGATCACCGTTTAAACTACTATAACCTTAGATGCAAAAGAAAAGAATACTGAATAGAAAGTTACCTTAAAAGAGCTGAAAATGAAAGATCTCTTTATGACTAGAAGAAGCTAAGCTCAGTGTATCCCCGGGAATAAGGTAAGAGTTCTTCAGCTTGGACCCGTGAAGTGGAGTAACTCGTTGTTCGCTTTAACCTGTTATGGGCTGACTCAACCTCTGCACAGAAAATGCCATACACTGGTCTATGATCTGAGAACCGTGACTCTCCTCTTACATAAGATAACTGATGCAGTCCTTCCCCGAACCACAATATCCTATCACACCTATTTTAGAGAAAACTAATGTCAGAAAAGATATTTACCATACATCAGAAGTTCTTGTTTTCTTGCTGTTAAATAGACAAACTTACCAAGCAGGAGTGCGACGTTTCTCCTTAGGATGCAAATCGTCTCCAGAATATCTATCTGAGTTCCTTGAGTACTTGTACGTTGGTGGGAAATAGATCTTTCCTTCGTTCCATCCCTTAAACACATGGCCTCGTTTCTGCTCAATTCTTAGCTGCAAGTACACATTTTCTGGATATGAACTTCTTCCGCCTTTTCTTAAGAGTTAAGACCATTAGATCTAAGTGTATATACAAACGTACCTGGTCGTTTTCTAGTAAAGCTCTCCAGTTCTGCATCTCAACAAGTGCTTTGGCAGACCGATAAGACAATGCTATACGGTAATTTAGATCTCCAAGCCATATTATCCGGCTGGTAAAAGGATACGAAAATTGGTATCAAGAGACTGGTAACAAACTGTTTCATGAAGTCCAATTTTAATCTATAGCACGAAAAGTAAGATCATCAATCTTACTCATGCTGAAGGATGTTCTCAGGGGATTTTTCTTCCTCTGAACTCTTAAGGCGAGGAAATCTTGTTTTCTTGAGAATCTCCATGACATCAGAGTTTCTCTTTAGCTCATCACCTTCTTTTTGTCCTGAAGTCAAATGGGTACAAACGAAGCAAAAGCTTGTTTGATGGAGCAACATGCTTATTGATATTGATCCCTACAAAAGAACCAAAGGCATTATAAGAATGTGCCTAACGAACCCACAGAACAGAACAGTTTGTAGGGAAGAACAAAATCTAACCTTATTTCCGAGGTAACCCATCAGTCCTCTGCCAACACAAGATACTTTCATGTTCTTGACATGTTCTCTTAGCTCGCTTTTCACCCAAATTGTTAAGAAAACACCCACCATTTGTTTGCTAGCAACTAAACAATACTGTGACGAGTTCCACGGGATCCTATATCCGTTCTCGTTAGCTGCAGAACCTGGTGAGTACAAGACAGTGCTTGGAGAATCCCCGAGACCATTATCATCATCTGAAGACCTTGAAAAGTCACTTGGCCGTGAAAAATCACTCGGTCTGGAGTAGTAATCACTTGGTCTAGAGTAGTCACTCGGTCTTGAATCACTAGGCCTTCTGGAATAATCACTAGGCCTTCTGGAATAGTCACTAGGCCTCCTGGAGTAATCACTAGGCCTTCTAGAGTAATCACTAGGCCTGTGACTGCTGCTACTACCACGGAAACTCGGGTCAAAATCACTTGGCCTGTGGCTGAAGAAGACACGATCACAGACGCTGAAACGACGGTCAAGACCTGGCTGAGGAATTGAAGGATCATTCCATGTACTACTTGGGGTCTGAAAAGACCGTCTGTGGAAGAAAGAGGAGTTCTTTTGCCTTGTGGATCCAGAGAAATCAGCATCAAGCTCTGCCATAGGCACAGGGACAGGGGAAGGCGTGTGATAACCGCCTGTTCCACTAGTCCCTGGTCGGTTATTGAGCGTTTTTCGGATAAGAGAGAGCCATTTCTGAGCAGGTCCATTGTCTTCAGCTCCAAGGACATTACCAGCATTAAGTGGAACAATCTCTTGGAATCTGGATTTGACCCAAAAGCAAAGACTGAGGGAGTGAAGATATCTAATGAAATTCATTAAAAAAAAATATGTCTTTTTGAAACATACCCGAGTACATATATATCTGCAGGAGCTGACGAATGAAGCCACTCATCAAGGTTTAAATCTGAAGGAGGAGAGCGTCCAGCTACGTTCCAGGTAGCTACAAAGATGCTGGTCCAAGTAACTAGATTTCAGTAAAAATCATATTTTACAGGAAACATATGTGATTATGTGTGTGTGTGTAAATACCTGTAGTTTTGGACATCAATGATCCTAGGATTCTCATAATTCATTCTCCTTTGCCGAGCTTGCTGCTCCCAGTTCTTGTTGAGTTTCTCTGTGAAACCCCAGAAATCATCAGTAAAAATTTAAATTCATTAGTTTAGATCAAACAAGTGAGTATATCTGTGAAAGTTACCAGTTTTGGTCTTCTTGATTGTGGAAGGTGCTTTCTCAGCTGAGAAGCTATTTCTGTGATCTACTTCAACTGCTGTAATCAATTTAACAAATCAGTATCAAAAACAAATTGAGTTAAGATTATCTCAGAAGAGACAAAACATAACACTTAAGGAAAAAAACAAGAACAAGTAAACAAAACTAGTTAAAAGAGAGAGAAAGAGATAGAGACAAATTTACCAGCAGAAGTAGGATCATCTGCTTGAAACTCCTCTGTTTTGCTTTTGATATTAAACCATTTCCTGACCATCTTCTTGGACCATGCCAGCTTTATTCCAAAAAAATCCAAATTCAAAAACAAAACATGTTCATCTTGAAATTCCATCAAGTTGGGCAAACAAAAAAGATCAAATATTTAGAGAATACAAACCTTATTAGTCTTGGGTTTGTCTTCCCTCATTGTTGCTTCTTTACAAGTATCTGTGTGGCTCCTTTTTTTTTCTCCTTTAGCAGAAACTCAATCCATACATGAACAAGAAGAAAGGAGAAATCCTTACCTAAACTCAATCACTGCCAAAAAACAATGGGAATTTCCTAAATTTTCGACTTAGAATTGGGGGACCAGACAGAAACTTAAACTTAAACAAAAGCAAGTAAGAATATGGAATCTGAGTTTCTCCCTAAGAAATAGATTTGAGATTCTGAGACCTCTCTTTTCTCACGGAGGGACAAAGCAATGAACAAATGTGAGGGCTTTTTTGGTTCTTGACAAGGGTTTTAATGGCGGAGACAGGAAAATTTGTATAGCAAAGAGAGAGAGAGAGAGAAAGAGAGAGAAGAAGAACTTAAAATAAGAGAAAGTGTTGAAGAGACATCAATTCTTGAAGTAGACAGAGGCGAGACAATGAGGGCAGATTTTAGAGTGAGAAAGTAAAAGTGAATTCTACAGGAGAGAGAGTCTTTGTACTGAGGAGAGGAGAGAAGAGAGAGAGACTTCTTAGTTAGTTAGTACTAGTCCTTGAATGAAACGGCAAAGTAAAAGGCAAAGGCAAAGGCAAAGGCAAAGCAAGCGTATTTTGAACAAAATTAAAAAATAAAGTTGCAGAGAGACTTGCCTAGTGTTTTAGTCTTCTTTGCTCTTTCTTCTTTCTCTTTTTTTTTTTTATATTTATTTGGCTGAGTTTTTCTTTTATAGTAATTTACTAATTAGTATGGGTTTTGTTTTGGAAACTTTTTATTCATCTAATTTAATATCACGATTTGACACAAACCATTTGATTAGGTTTCCACAACGAAAATTTAATATTGACAACATCTGCCTAATTCAAATCGCATTAATTCTTTTTGCCATTTTTTATATCTAGTATTATATTCCTTTCGTTTCAACAAATTTGATCTATAATCGTATAAAATGCAAAAGTCCATAACCATCATATACTGTACATATTTTCAGATTTAGGGTTTTGAAGTCCCGGTTCATATTTCCAAAGAATCATAGAAAATGATTAGAAAAAAACGTCTTTTACTTTTCACTAACAAAAATAAATGTAGAGTGACATACTAAAAGTTTATGTATATGTGAATAAATCTTTGTAAAACTATAGAGTTCTGCGACAACCTATGATTGATATAAACATGCCGGTTGGTTTTTGTCAACTCTAGTGAAAAACTTATCATCACATCTTGTAATAATAAAAGTAAAATTGGTCGAGAAGGTTCTTTATTATCATAATCATTTGGCCAATATGATTATCTGAAAATGTCTGTTAAATCGAATGTAGATTAAATTAATTTTAATGTTAAAGAAAATAAAAAAATTGAAACTTTACAAAATAGTTTAGACATAATCGTTTAATGCGAGCTAATAATATTTCACAAGTGGATCATAATGAAACAAAAGTGTAATAGAAACAGCAAGAAGAGAATTTTTCAAATTTTCCACAGATGCATGCGAAAGTTGCATATATATGATGTTGACTGATAAAGTACGAAAATATGAAAAAATTATAAGATACCACAAACATACGCTCGTATGTGCATGCAACAAATGGGTTTAAATCAAATACAGTACTATACTAATCTTAGTTTGTTTGTTTTTTTTTGTCATCAATCTTAGTTTGGTATATATATAGAGGAAGCAGTACACTCTCTTGGTCTTGGATGGCTAAGTTATCGTATATGTAAAGGATTGCAGAGTGGCATTTATGTGACTTAGATGTTTTGCTAATGGCTAAGCTTATAAAGATTAGTATTGACAATTCAGTTAGGTATCTGTACTTATCAATCTCTCTGTACTCGTTTTATTTTTTCTTCCTTTTTGGCAAACAAAAAGAGTCAGTGAAGAATGACAAGAACGTGATGTTAGCCGAAACTAGTTTGATTCTTTTATCGACTTATCCTAAACTAACTGATCATGTGTCCATTTTTATTTATTTCTGAACTGATATTAATCCCATTCATTCATACACATCTCACGATCTACTACTAGTTTATTTTCTTGTATTTACATTTTCTCTCCAAGATTTTGCTCTACCAAAGAAAGTAAAGAAAAGCAAAAGAATAATACTATTAAAAGTTAAGAGAGAGAGAAGGAAAAAGAGAAAGCGATAAAGAGAGCTATGTATGTATGTCACACTATAATGTGTCTTGTGCTCTCTACGGTTATAGTTTGCCATATCATCTTTCCCTTTCAATATGTTTATTTTTAATTTTTTACTTTTATTTGATTTTCCCAAATTTATCTTTATTTAAATATCGAGTTTCTAAATTTCCTGAAAATTTGATGGATATTACTATAATAATTGTAGAGATATATTCTTTTCTTGTAGCACAAATGTTGGACACAAGATACTGTTTAAAAGTCCACTCGCCACTGATATCAGGGGAGTCTGTGTTTTTCTTGAGACTCCCAATTTTTCGCATCGTTTTTAATTGGATGTATATGTTTAACATAGATTTATATGCTTAACAAATACAACTCCTCCGTATACTGTATATATATTGCAGCAATATGAGAGATTAGGGTTACGTCTAAAGCAATATATGTAGATGAAATTCTTAAGATAACTAAAGATCTCGACCAAGCTATAAACAAGATTCGCTATTTAGCTTTCAATCAATCCTTAGAAGACGGGTACCTTATATGATATGATCCCAATCAATATATGAATGTAAGAAATTTATATATAATTCATACTTGTGTTGTTATTTACAATTAACTAATTAGGAAAATAATTAAGAAATTGATGATGGCCTGACGGCGGAGAATTTTCATGCTGGGCCATCCCTAATGTCCCATAATCTCTATAGATTATCGTTATTTGTAAATTTTATACTAATTTTATAAAATCAAATCTCCAGAAGCTTATTAGGAAAAACATAACACGAAGATCACAACGCCGCTCCACCATACCATTAAAAACACTCATGATTAATGCTAATCATGATTAGCAATCTACACCATTAATTCGTTTTGCTAATTGCTTTGCCCCATCAAGATCCGTCCATATTTGTTTACACGCAATTGGGAAAACGCAATATCGACACATAATATATACATATGTGAACATTATTAGCAATTATTTATGTCTGCTCAGACGTACATTTAATCATGTATATATATAACTTGATGATTGTATTCCAGATATAATTTGTAGTCATTGTTTTGAGTATTCTTAAACACGTTTTAAAAACACATTAAATGGTCCATGTTATTCTCAATTCATGTTTATTCATTTCTAATTATCAACACATATATATATGCGATATAGTGTATATTCAAAAAACACAATTATTTGGGCCAAGACTGTTGAAGGAGCGACTAAAAGTAAACAGAAGGAGGAAGAAACGTTACATGCATATAAGTTTACGATTGAAGTTCGCTTTATATTCGTGTAACCTAATGTATATATTATATGAGTGGAATTTTCATTTTATTGGTATCTAATCAGCAGGAATATTTTCGTTAACCTTGTCTCCACGAACTCGAATTAAGACGATGTATACATACTTCTACATTAGGCGAACACTAAATAATTGTGTTCTTCTCAAAGATAAAGAAGAAACGATCATCGAGGGCATGCAACACATATTATGATATCAATAAAGTCGACCTATATTAGGGAAAAAACAAAGTCGACCTATTAGTTTTAATATCCTGAAATTCAGGATTCAAACATCAAAGTTATAGCAATCTTTGTGTTACCAATAAATTAACAAATCTATAGGATTAATATAAGAGAATCATTAGTGACGACGACACTTTTAATTTTTATTTTTGTATATTCTATGTGCCAGTTTGTATATTAAATGGACGAAAGTAGGAATTAACAAGGGACATGACCAAGTGGTGTCAAATGGATGCGCATTTATAGTGTTACTCTATGTTTGTCATCTCCAATATAAAAGGATATTCCTTTATTTGGTAAATGTTTTCTTTTCACTGTTGAGCTCAATCTTTGAACCCTTAAGTTTCGTTTTGCTCGATAAAAATTAATGATACTAATTAATCCAGACAAAGTAAAAGAAGATTTTATCATCGAACGCATTGCTCTTCTTCATTAGGTGAATATATTCATTCTGGACTAGAGGTATATTCTTGTTTCTGAGCTAGATCTGAAGGTTGATGCTAACATATCATCTTCTCTGTTTCTTTAACCTAGAAATCTCATATATTGAACTAATCTTTAAAGTGTGTACTTAAATTAAAAAAAATTATATATAACATATTATGTTTTTTATTTTTCTTGATGTGATGTTATTTATGTTGTTTTTTCCTCGACTGCGATTTGATCACTCAAGAAACTTGTCAGACTATTAAACTAATATGATGTCAAACAATTTTTGATATAAAAAATAATATTTATATACTAAAATTATCGTTATCAGGCATATATAGTTAAACATTTATAATTGTTTTCCATGCACCATCATACTATTATCTCATTATCAAATTTATCATCCGAAGAATCGTAGATGTGATAATTGTAAGTGGAGAACCTAATATACTTTATAGAAAAGATCCTAGAGAGATAATGTACATGTGTAATATAAATCTACATGTTTAGTATATATATATCATGTGTGTCGTAATCACTTTAGTTATCCCATAGTTACTCGTTTACTTTAATTAACCTATAGTTTGATGGTACGTATAAACTCTTAATCATTATGCCAAAGCCATTTTCGCTTATATGAATCCGTAGTTTTATGATAAATCATGAAATGACATCCACTGAAACTGTGGTCAGAGGCAATTGAGTCATACTTACGGGTTAAAACAAGACCCAGGGGACAAAAGTACATTGCATGGTTCAAAATTTATCATTAATTACATCTAATCACCAACGGTTTAATTCATTAAAAACAAACACGACGATGATTTTTACTTTTACTTTTGCTTTTTAGTACAAAATCTCTCATCTCTCAAATTTCAAGATTTACGAGGCAGTTCAGAGGAAAGATTCAGCTAAATTTTATTTTATATCTAGATGTATAATAAGATTACATCATAGATAAGACTTAGGAATTAAATCGTATGCATCTATTTTTTTCTTTCTTTCTTTCCCTTTTGCTTTAATTGTGGGGGAGGGCCACTCTTTCTCTTAATGTTTGCTTGTAGGCTATGTAATGCCCGTTTATATTTAGAGTCGGGTCATATAGCATTTTCAGGAAAAGGAATAAATCTAAAGCTTAATTATTTCAAAGATGGGATGCATATAAATTAAGTTAGATGATGTTTGCTAATTGTATCTCGTTCTAAGCTCTAATCCCGTCATCTTCATGATTATGAAGTTAGATTAGCAGAAAAAAAAAAAGAAAAGGTGTTTTACTCCAAAAAAAAAAAAAAAAAAAAAAGGGAGTCGAGTTTAAGAATTTTATTATAAATCCTTTTCGATAAACAAAGAGAAGTTGAGAAGTTTAAGTATACTTTTTATTTCGCTAACATGACCAAGATCGATGTTTTAGAAGTTGACAAGTATTACTTCTTTATACATTTAACTCTGTTGATTAGTGATCATCGTATTGCAAACATCCATGTTGATGTTGAAGAATGATCACCTGAGTTATCAAAAGAAAAAGAAAGAATAATGATGATGATCATGAGAAGTTTCGTTGGTCGCTATACAAACCAACGTTCCTCTACAAGCCGGTTCGATCAACCGGTCAAGTTTAATTAATTGGCCTGGTTCGGGGTTAAATAGCTTCTGAACTTACAAAAATCTCTTTCTGCGTCTCTGTTACGTTTCTCAAGCTGTGGGATTATAGGTTAAGTTGTTGACAGCAATCTTTCAGTTTATGTATCTAATTAGTTTGACAACAGAGACATATGATATCTGGTGGCTCGTACATGCTTGTTGAGTTGTAGTAAATAAACTTGTAAGGATCAGGCGTTAATAAACTTGGAACTATCAGTTACGAGTTTCGAGTGTCAAAGTTTTGATTGAAGCTAGAGAAACAGAAATAAAGCATGATTTAAACTTAGTTTTCTGCATTACTATATTGGGAAGTCTTGATAAGATGAAAAAGCATATTATACTATTATATAGGGTGAAGAGATGAAGCCAAGAGTTTTGGTGATGATGACTCAGGGCATGAGTATGCTGAAACCTTCAACTAAATCTGCTTCCTTTGGTTGGATTATAAGATTGTCAAACATATCCCCAAGCTTCGAACGCTGCACCATAGTGTCCAACACTTTATCCTCTGTCACAGCTTCAGCAATCTTTTCTTTTCCTTTGTCAGGTCTCGAAGAGCATGCAAACACCAGCTCTGAGATTCTATCCTTTTGTGCTTGCTTACAGTACTTTGGCCCCTCAGGAGTTCCTTTTGCAACCAAGTGATATGTGTAAACAATCCGCTGCTGCCCGATTCTGTAAGCACGGCTTATAGCTTGTCTTTCGACTGCTGGATTCCACACAACATCCAAAAGAATCACCCTTGATGCTCCTACCAGACTGATCCCTTCAGAGCAGGCTTTTGTTGAAGCTAAGAACACTTTTGCCTTGGATTTTGGGTCATTGAATTCGTTGATCAAGGTTTGTCTCTGTTTTTGCTCGAGTTTGCCATGCATGTACAACACTTCCTCCCCTGGATTCCACTTGAAACGAGAGACCAGATGTTTCATGATCAGTTTCAATGGGTCTATGTATTGGCTGAAGACCAACACTTTCTCCTTTATCACCTCACATAACTCAACGAACTCCATGAGGAATCTCGTTTTCACACTTTGCTTTGGATCGAGTCTTACCTTCTTAAGCTGTGCAAGCAATGCCTCGTCGATGGTCAAACTTTCCTTGGCAGAAAGTTTGCAGCGAGATACTAGAGAAGGATGGACTGAGACTAGAGACAGCTTGTGTTCTGTTTCAAACACGTTTATTTTTTTCCGGTTGTGAGTGACTTCAATGGATTCTAGGACTCTCTTCTGTAGCTCCGGTGGGTTTAACACCACAACGCATTCTCTCAAACCAGGGAGGCTCCTTTGAAGAATGCTTCCTTTATGGACATGCACAAATGGAAGCATAACAGTTTTCAGTTCTTCGATACCACGGTTGTTGATTTCGTTCCCCAAAGCTTTTTTTCCTCTTTTAGTTACAGTCATCCCACTCTTCTTGAGTGTGGCTGTGAGCTTTTCCAGATATTTAGGTCTTGCGAGTCCCAAAACATTGCACAGCTCCTGGAAGTTGTTCTGAAAAGGAGTTCCAGAAAGCAAGATACGTTTTTGTGTTTCCACTTTAGATAGTGTTTTCCAGATACAACTTCTCTGGTTTCTAGGCGTGTGTGCCTCATCAAGAACCAGCAATCCAGGCCTTCCCATAAGAATCTCTCTGATATCCTCTGACTCTTTGTCTGGTTTTACTTCTCTCACCGTCTTAGTCTTTTTGTCCTCGTCTTTAACTCCTGCAAGCTTCTCATAGAGGTTGTAGCTGATCCCGAGTATGCTCTTTGCTTTAATCCAAGAGTATATTTTCACCATCCTTATCTCATTATTGCTTCTAGCAGTGGCATTCTTCTGCATTAAAAGTCCCAGCGCTGCTGCGTTCTCTTTTCCGGTAAACTCCAAACTGCTGAGATTATGAAAAGGAATGCTTATGTTCCATTTCTTAAACTCCTCTGCCCATGTGAGAAGCAAGCTTGCAGGAGCAATGATCACTGGTTTGCAATCTGGGAAGCATGCAAGGTAGGCTTGAAGGAAAATGATGGTCAGGCGAGTTTTTCCTGTCCCGGGAGCGTGTGACATGATGCATCCTCCGGTTTCATCGCTGTTCTCAAAGTCCTTGAGCTTGTTCAAAAAGATTGTACCAGCTAAATTCGTCCAAATAAACTCAAAACCCTCTTGCTGGTGAGGATACATTTGAGATTTGACCCCTGGGATCTTATCCCAAACGGTTCCTTCAGAAGAAACACATCCCCCATCTAAGCTGTTCATGTTAGGAGCTTCAATCCCAAGTTTCCCAATGAGGTTGCTGAATTCTTCCTCATCATATCTATCAGACTTTCTCCTTTCCCTTGTGATCTTCTCTCCCTACATGAAGAGAAGCATGCATTAGAGCTACTATCAAATCTTTCAGTTCAAACTTACTATCAATTTACTGAATACTCCAAATTTCTTACCCACTCAGATTCATCCATGCTTCGGATCTCTCTCTGCACGAAGCCGCAGTTCACACACTTCAAACCAATCTCAAGATCAAGACACAGATCGTGATTTCCTTTTCTACATTGTGCTGCTGGAGTTTCATCAGTTGATATTTCAATCTCGACCTGCAAATATTTCAAGTCAGAATTACTTTGTTCTTAAACAAAAGGAGATTAATACACTGTTTTGAAGAAGACAAGATATTACATTTGAAGGGACCTCGTTGCTGACGTCGATAGATTTATTGTAAAATGCTAGTTCTTCCCAGAGCTTCTGTACCTCCAAATCCGACTCAGAAATCTCAGGTGGTGATTGAGGTTCCTCCATACCAAATCTCTCTATCAATGGTGGTGGCCTAATGATTAGAAGTCCATCATCATCATATCTTCTTTGATCCTCCATAGAATGTTCTTGATACTGGTCCCCAGGTAAAGAAAATAGTTGTTCTGCTTCTTCATCTCCTAATTGACCTTTCTCCCAAACAGAGTTCACAAGAAGCCGGAAGAGATCAACTTCTTTATGGTTTCCATTTAATACTCTCCAGTCCGAGTTGTTATTAGTCTTGATCTCTTTATCTTTTAAAGAAGGGTCAGATTCATATCCAGATTTATCTGCAGAGCTGATAGAAGAATCAGACTGGCCGTCAAGTGGTTCATTAGCCAAAAGAGACTTACTTAATCCCCCTGCAACTGCAACTGCAGGTATCACCGACCCCAATTTGTTGTTGCCTTGGACCTCTTTTCTTTTCTCTGAATTCTTGATTTCAGGTCTTGATGGCTTTTCAAGTGCTTGCACCTCTTTTGTTTTCCCTGAACTAAGAATATCAGGTCTGTATGTGGATGGCTTTTCAGGTGCTTCTACCTCTTTAGATTTCCCTGAAGTGAAAATTTCAGGTCTGGATGTGGATAGATTCACAAGTGTTTTCACTTCTTTTCCTGTCTTTGGATTCTCCAGTTTAGGTCTTGATGGCTCTTCAAGTGACTTCCCAGAGTTGATGGAAACAGAATCTTCATACTTTGATGCATTAGTAGAAGCAAAGTTGTTCACATCCTCAATTTCATCTCTTAATGCATGTGGTTGGATGAAAGAGCTGTGAGTTTCAAGAACTCCTGTATTCTCTTTTCCACAGTGAGCACAAGTGAACACCGGGTTGCTCGGCGGCTTTGTTACTATTTCAACTACTTTAAGTCGTTCTTCTTCGTCTTCTTGACGGTTTAATTTCCGAATCTTCTTGTACTCTTTTCTAGGCTTGGTTAAGCAAGAACCAGACCTCTTATACCTTACCAAAGGCTTCCTTTCCGCAATAGAGACATTCCTGACTGGTGAACTGACCTTTAAGAAATCATCATCATCAGTATTATCTTCAACCACCTCCTTTAAATTGTATGCATCGTCACTCGAGGAAGAAGATGAAGATGAAGGCGATGATGATGATGATGAAAAAGATGGATCCTCAGAAGATAGAGACTCGACTGATATATCATCTTTGGTATTATTCTCTTCACTCTCTTGATTTTCTTCTTCCTCTCCCTCAGATTCACTTGTGCTATCTCCGCCATCACTGATAGATTCTACAATCCTGCTACTGTCCACAAAAAGCTTCTTCTTGGCTGGAGCTCTGGCTTCAGTTTCAGACTCAGAATCTGAAAGAATCTCTATTTCACCAGGGAGTGATTTTTGGACAACCAAACCTCTAGTATCCGGGGAACACATCTCCATCACACACATGTTCTGTTCAGACACCTCTATTAACTTAGAAGAGCTCGGAACTGGTATTCCAACATCCAAATCTCTAATCTCAGGAGAACACTTCTCATTCACCGATGTGTTCTGTTCAGACACATCTCTTAACTTAGAGGAGCTCGGACCTGATTTCTCCACATCCAAATCTCTAATCTCAGGGGAACACTTCTCCTTCACACATGTGTTCTGTTCAGACACACCTCTTAACTTAGAGGAGCTCGGACCTGATTTCTCCACATCCAAATCTGTACTCTTAGGGGAACACTTCTCCTTCTCACATGTGTTCTGTTCAGACACATCTCTTAACTTGGGAGAGCTCGGACCTGATTTTTCGACATCCAAATCTCTAGTCTCAGGGGAACACTTCTCCTTCACACATGTGTTCTGTTCAGACACATCTCTGAACTCAAAAGAGCTAGGAACTGATGTATTCACCACATCTAAATCATTAACCCTAAAAGAACTCTCTTTCACACACGTGTTTAGCTCAGACCCATCTCTGAACTTAGAGGAGCTAGGACCTGATTTCCCCACATTCAGATCCCTAATAATCCTAGAGAAGCTCTCCTTGACAGAGTTGTTCTGAACAGACCCAGCCCTTAAACCAGCAGAGTGCCTGTCATTTTCTTGAACAGGAGGAACACGGTTGTTGTAAGTAGGTGTGATGTCCTCAATGTCAGAATCGGGGTCTAGTCTTCTTATCTGTTTTCGTCTCTTTGGAGGAGAAGTCACAGGAGCTTCTATCTCCATCTTCTTCCGCTTATTAACCACCTGAAGACGCTGCCAGCTCCGGGACTTAACTCTCTTCCCAATCCACTCCATTAGAGCAAAACAAAGATCTGAAAAAGAAACACAAGATTGAGAGAAAAGACGGTAAGAAACCTAGAGAAGATAGCGAATCTGAGTAAAAGAAGAAGCAACGATATCTGTAAAGAAACAGAGAGAGAAAAGTAAGAACCTTTGGACAAGGAAAAATGAATCTTCCTAAGGGGTTTGAGGGGAAGATGATGAAGTGTAATGACTGTATCTAAGACTTTTGAGAACTTACTAGTTTCGGAAGATGGGACAGAAGAGAAGTGATGGGCGGAGAGAGAAAGAGACATGAAGAAAGCGTGATGCCAAAGCCAAAGCATGCTATTTCAGGACTACTCATACCGCCAAAACTTTGACTCCAAAAACGTACTACTATTTCTCTCTCCCTCTCTGCTTTATTTTTTTGCTCAGTTTTCTTACATTTTCCACAAACCAGCTCATTAATCAGTTTCTATATAAAGCTTTGTTTTTTTCTCTTTCTTTCTTTTCCTCTCTAAATTACTTTTTGACCACTCAGAAAATTATGAGCCAAAACCTAAAACGTCACTCTGCAGTTACAAGACAAACGATGTGTAATAAATGTCGTACAGCTTCTTCTAATTTCTTTTAATACTGTGAAATCCCATTTGTATTTGTTTCGAAATGTACATCAGTTTGTATTTAATAATAATAAAAGCAATTTCATCTCTCACAATTCAATTCTCTTTAACAATTTCAGGATGTAAAGCAAATAGCATCATTTACCATAGAGAGTAAGAGTCTACATACTCATTAATATAGAGTTTGGGTTCACGCAATGACGCAAAAGTGGTGTTGGAACTTGGTCATTTACATCACTAGCAAGTTCTAATTTTGAAGAAAGAAGACTTTTGCACCAACTTCACCTTGGTGCCTAACCTTTAATCTAATCATAGTAATGAGCATCACATCCTATGAGAATTTTAACAGATTAAAAAAAAGAAAGCTAAAGTGTGTCTAATAAGTCAAAGATAACAACAACTTTCTGAAGGGACCATTACAATTCACTTTGTTATGAAATTGAGTAACAAGGGTATTGTTATTAGAACATAGAAGCACATACATATCTAAAACTGAATAACAAAGTATCCGTTAAAACTCTACCATCCACTGTACTTGGAACAAAGCGGCACTGGTTCTTTTATAGTATAAATGATAAATTGATAATGGAAGATTCAAAAACTAAGAGAAAGAAAAGATTTAAGTAAACCTGAGCTTCTTCGTGATCCTGACTCCTAACTCCTAAGACCGTAACGTTGCCTCGATGATGAGCCGTAACCATCTCTCAAACCATCCATCTATCTACACGAGTATAACATACCAAGATCTTGATGACATGATACGTTCTGCGGAATGCAAAGCTGAATCTTTGTCATTATGATGACGTTCTTGGCTTCGTCTTTTCTATTCCAAATTAGAATCCGAAAAAAAGTAATCACCTTCATAGCCAAGCTGCAATTTTTACATCTCCCTCCATCACTCCAAGGAATGTTTTGATTTGACCTCTCCCGGAGTCTCACCGATTACGTATTTTCCAGTTATATGACGTGTCAACGACTAATTGGTGGTAATGGACCTTTTCGTCTGCGTCGGTCGGGAGGGAGCGACCTCTTCTTTGGAAAGGAAAATATAAACCTTTTTCACAAATCCCGAATTTAAAAATCAAAAGACCCTTTTTTATTTATTTTTCTTTTTATTTAAATTCGCTTTCTTAGAAAATAAATAAGATTACTAGGGGTACTAGTACTATACATCTCTCTCTATCTATCTTATTCGGGTTTAGCTCGCGAAATTGAATCTGGTGGTGTGATCTTTGTACTCGATTGTCAAGTACGGACATTGCAATTTGCGGATTCCGGCGACATAATGGGCTTTATTGTCGGAATTGTAGTCGGACTCGTTGTTGGCATCGCCATCATCATCGGTTTTGTCAAGTTGGAGAATTCTCGATCCAAGCTTCGCTCTCAGCTTGTGAGACCTTCCCCTCTCAATCAAACTTTTTTTTTTTTTCTTTTTGATTGAAAATTTCGCTTTTTTTTTTTCCTCGATTTGGTCAGCTCTTTCTTTTGTGTCTTTTTATCAGGCGACTACGGTGGCTGCTTTTGCGAGGATGACTGTGGAAGATTCGAGGAAGCTTTTGCCTCCTGAGTTTTATCCTTCCTGGGTTGTCTTCTCCGAGCGTCAGAAGTTGAGTCACTAGTTTCCCTTTTTCCATATCTTTCTCCTTTTGGGTTTTGGGAATTTGGTCATACTTGGGAATGATTCTTGTTACTTTGGCTTTTTTTATTTACTTCAGTTGACTTGGCTCAACCATCACTTGACAAAGATCTGGCCTTATGTTGATGAGGTATGTTTGGGTGCTCTCAATTTGCTTCTTTTTTTTGTTCTTGTCAAATTCACTGAGTCAGAGAGATGTTGTTTGTATTATGAATGAAGATACTGATGGAGGGTTTTTTTTCTCTCCGGTTTCTTATTTACCGGAGTTTAGGCAGCCTCTGACCTTATAAGAGCTTCGGTCGAGCCTGTTCTCGAGCAATATCGACCTGCCATAGTGGCCTCCTTGAAATTTTCTAAGCTTACTCTCGGTACAGTGGCGCCTCAGTTTACAGGTTAGTTTTGTTCTCTGTTTTAATATGTAAAATTTGTTAGTTGTGAGGTACCATAACTTATGCAATTGATTCATGTTAGATTTGCGGTAGAATCTCTTTGCTTGTGAAATTTTCGGTTTAGTTGAGTCCATAGATCTTGAGCTTACATAGTTAGTAAAGAATTCTTACTTTTACGTGTCTCCACCTTTAAACCTACTTTTCTGTGGTATCATTGAGTTCATGTCAAAGGGGAAATATTCAATTTCATAGATGAATGAGAAGTGGATTAAACTTCGACTCGAAAAGTAATACCAGCAGTATCCTTTTTTACATTTCTGTGGATTGTGTGTTAAAGTTTGCAAAAAGAGGAGCCATCTTCTCAAATAAACATCGTGCTGTTTGCTTAGAGTTTAAGAGTCTGCTTGTGCCCCTTGGTGTTCGTTAGGTGTTTCCATTATCGACGGTGATAAAAATGGGGTGACCATGGAACTTGATATGCAATGGGATGGAAATCCAAATATTGTACTTGGCATCAAGACCTTAGTTGGTGTATCTCTTCCAGTTCAGGTACACGATATGTGTCTCATGCTTTCTCTTGATTGCTTACTTCTATATACTGTGAGATCTGATTTTACACCATATTCTCTTTGATATTTTTAACCTTTCTATTTGGCCAATGATAAGCTGAGTACAACTGATTTTGTATTCTCTGTTTTTCAGGTGAAGAATATTGGCTTCACTGGTGTTTTCAGGCTGATTTTTAGGCCACTAGTTGATGAATTTCCTTGCTTTGGAGCTGTCAGTGTTTCTCTTAGAGAAAAGGTTGGTGCCCTCTGAAGTAATTGGCTAAGAGTGTCCACAATTTTTTGAACTTTTGCTTAATCTTGTTGCATCCTTGTGTTTACCTGCATATGTGTGCTTGGTTCCATTGAAGAAAGCTGTGAGGACATAAAATCTTCGACTAGCTATGATCAGTTTTGTCGTTTGGTTTGCTTATACGTCCAATTCTGTACTGCAGAAAAAATTAGACTTCACCCTTAAGGTTGTTGGAGGGGACATTTCAGCAATTCCTGGACTTTCTGAAGCTATTGAGGTTTGGCCTACATTTTTTTCCCCTGATGTCATCCACTTTTTTTCCTCAGAATAGTATTCATTTGTTACTAAATGAACACATTTCCAAGTGAGAATTGCATGCGTATTTTATCTCCTAACTAATATGTGTTTCAATATCAAACTGTCTTTGTCCTTTTTCTGTCACCACTAGATTTATTTTCTTGATGCCAAATGTTGATGTCATTCTGGAGTTTAAGAGAAGTGAACTATCAATATGGTTTCAAGTCTTGACACTTACTGTAAGTTGATATGTAATAGGAAACAATTCGGGATGCCGTGGAAGATTCTATCACATGGCCTGTTCGGAAGGTCATCCCAATTTTGCCTGGTGACTATAGGTACACCTCCTTATTAAATACATGAAGTTGACCTATTGACGTACTGTTTAAGGTTTTTAGTGAGGGTTTAAGCCCTTGCCTCAGTGCAAGATATGCCCAACTTTGTTACTATGGTGTTGTAGCATTATCAAAGTGCCAACGAAAAATGGTGGTGCTTGTCTTTCTGGTTTTGGATTTCTATTATAGCTTTTTTGTGTTTCTTTTCTCAGCGATCTGGAGCTAAAGCCTGTTGGAATGTTGGAGGTGAAGCTTGTGCAAGCAAAGAATTTGACCAACAAAGATCTAGTTGGGAAATCGGACCCCTTTGCTAAAATCTTTATACGTCCTTTGCGAGAAAAGACTAAAAGAAGCAAGACAATTGTAAGTAGTCCAATTTTTTCTTTTCTTTTGCTAAACCTGCAGAGTGATCTGATTTATATAATTCCCCTCAGAACAATGACCTGAATCCCATCTGGAATGAGCATTTTGAGTTTGTCGTCGAAGATGCGTCAACTCAACACTTAGTGGTCAGAATATATGATGACGAAGGTGTACAGGCATCTGAGCTTATTGGTTGTGCACAAATCCGGCTTTGTGAACTTGAACCTGGTAAAGTGAAGGACGTCTGGTTGAAGCTAGTCAAAGATTTAGAGATCCAGAGAGATACTAAGAACCGTGGAGAGGTTAGATCAGCTAAAAATTTCCTCAAATAAGACCGTCCTAACCTAGAGATCTTTTAATTTTGTATCTGTAGCAAGATCTGTGGAGGGTTAATGAATTCACGTTATTGTTGATTATCTGTAATTTAGGTTCACCTAGAGCTACTTTACGTCCCTTATGGTTCGGGAAACGGCATCGTAAATCCCTTTGTCACTTCATCGATGACGTCCTTAGAGAGGGTGCTCAAGAATGATACGACAGATGAAGAAAACGCATCAAGCCGTAAAAGAAAAGATGTCATTATAAGAGGAGTGCTCTCAGTGACAGTCATATCTGCTGAAGAGATACCAATACAAGATCTGATGGGGAAAGCTGATCCATATGTTGTTCTCTCGATGAAGAAATCAGGTGCCAAGAGCAAAACTCGGGTAAGACCTCTCATATATATTGCATCGAAGAGTTATCCATGTTATTGATGTTTCATCCTCATATATAACTAATGGTAATTTTGCTTCACCAGGTCGTCAATGACAGCTTGAACCCAGTTTGGAACCAAACTTTTGATTTTGTAGTTGAAGACGGGCTACACGATATGCTAGTCCTTGAAGTCTGGGACCACGACACCTTTGGAAAGGTAAAACCAAAACCGCAACTACCGGATTTTTTCTTGCCTGGTTTATTATATATCGTGTTGCAATTGGACATGGAAAAATGAAACTTTGTGGATTTACTTTGTGGGTAGGACTACATTGGGAGATGCATCTTGACGTTGACAAGGGTTATAATGGAAGAGGAATACAAAGACTGGTATCCATTAGACGAATCCAAAACGGGCAAGCTTCAGTTGCATCTAAAGTGGATGGCTCAGTCAATTTATCGTGATTCCTAAGCTTAAACGGAAGATTCTCAACTTCGAGTGTACATTTTGTCTAGTTACCTCAACAAAATTTGTTTTGTCAAACAGAGACGAGTCTCCATGTAGCCCTGAAGCTATGGACTCGAATATGAGTTTTTCTCGTTATCTCGTGTCGCATGCATCACAATAACATTCTACCATAAAATCTTGTGTACACGTAATCACAATCACACCATATTTGTTGTCTACACCAAATTTGCTTTCGCTATCACAATCAGCTTCTGAATCTCTCGACACATATTAGCAATTTGACTAGTTCTTTATATTATCCTAAAGTATGCTGCCAGATAAGCCACACGCACACTCGGTGACACCTTCAATATTTGCCATGTGTTACAGTCCATGCACATGTCCACTCGTAATATTAATAGGAGACCTAATACAAGCTTCATTGTCTCTTATTCACTTGCTGCTAGAAATTCAGAATTTGCAGAGAAAAGAGAATTACTTAATTGGTGTAATGGAGAAGGCAGTTCATTTATCCACCAAAAATGGACCGAAGGTTCCAGGAGAGCCAACGAAGACTGGAACCTCCATGGTTGACACCGCAGCTTCAGCTGTACAAAGCTTCGGTCCGATTAACCAAATCCATCAACATCTCTGCGCGTACGTTTTAGTGAAATCGTTAATTCTCTCTTTTTGTTTAAAATTTAACAGAGATAAGAAGAGAAAAATAGATAATTTTTCCTAAGTTATTACAGTCACTTTCTCAAAAGAATTTAACCTATATGTGAACTCGTGTGGATTGCATTCTATGTGATATAAAGCCATTGTTGATGAATATATGACATCTTTTAATTTCTGTCTTTTGTTTCTTTTGCGTTTGTTGTAGGTTTCACTTTTATGCATATGACATGACCCGACAAGTGGAGGCACACCACTTCTGCGGACACATCAATGAGGACATGCGTCAGTGTCTGATCTACGATGGTCCTGATGCAAACGCTCGTCTGATCGGTTTGGAGTACATTGTAACAGAGAAGCTCTTTATGACATTACCTGATGATGAGAAGAAGCTTTGGCACACTCACGAGTGGGAAGTTAAAGGAGGCTTCTTGTTCATGCCCGGTGTTCCTGAAGCAATTCAACGCCAAGATCTCGAAAAGGTCGCCAAGACTTATGGGAAAGTCTACCACTTCTGGCAAGTCGATTTGGGGCATGAGCTCCCGATTGGCTTGCCTAATATCATGATGGCCGTAACTCGAGACGGTCAACTTTATCCAGAAATGATCAAGGGTGGGTTTGGGTTACGGTGGTCATCTAAAGATCTATCTATATTTGATTTGAAAATCCATGAAACTTGTAATATACGATGTATGAATGAATGTTTGCAGAGACGGAAAAGCAGTTTGGAGTATCGATAGAGAAGGAGAGAGAGTCAAGGGCTTATATGAAGGGACCAGACCATGGGATCCATCCGTTGGCAAATGGAGCAGGCAAAGGGCTCAAGTTGGAGGTGCGAGAGGTTGACATAAAGCCGGTCGAGTCTGTTCCAAGAGTCTTTGTCTAAGTTAGTTATATAGCAAAACTTAAGTGAGGAATAAATAAAAGAAGTGACAGAGCTTTGCTTATGTTTATAGCCCTCGGTCATGTGTATATATGTTGTAAAAGACGGTTTAAATAGTATATGGCGTCCATGTCAAAAAAACAAAGTAGTATATGACGTTTAGTGAATAGTGGTTTAAAAACTTTTTTGTGTATGTTCACATGACTCCTAAGGTTCTAATTAGTGTGTATTAGTGTATATGGGAGGACATATTAACCGAATTTTAAGGGCATCATTAGGAACGGACTAATAATTAGAACAATATCTTCGGCTACAAACCTTAAAGAAAAGAAAATAATACAATGACCAAACGAAACTACAAAATTTGTTGACTCGCTATGACAAACAAAACCCTCAGCGAAACAGAAAGGAATCAGAAGCGTAGTCTATTAATGTGTGTATAAAAAAGGCTAAGACACTGAGGCATTCGGGTGAGCGGTGACTGCATCTTCTTTATTTGTATTTGTCTCATGTCGTCTATAATTATGTTTGGCAGAGAAAAAACTCAGAATGACTAGTACTAAAAGCGATTCTTCAACTTAGGTGGAGGGAGAGAGAGAGAGACCTCTGGTTCTCAAGATTGAACAGCCAATTTCTGAAGATGTTGAAAGAAGACTTGAAGACTAACATCATCCGTAAAGATTATATCAGAACCTGTATTCATCTCGCTCGCATTGTTGTATGTTGCTGACGGATTTAACTTTGCTAACAAAAACCTTGCCTGTCCATTATTGCCATACATTTACGAAACGTCAACAAAAGCTAGCAACCCCAGTTTGTTCCACACTTACAATATTCAACTACAAATTCAGAGATCCAAAGGGTTAAGACACTAACCTGGGATCCATGTTGATCACACACAACTAATCTTGGCACAGGGAATCGGTCACGGATGATCATCTGAGCATCTTCTTGAGGGGCTTCCAAAAGTTGTGCAAATGCCTTAACAAATAAAGGGATCAAATGAGATATGTACGGCTAATATTCCCGAAAATCATGGTCAACTGCAACTTGTATAGTCATTACCTGGTGTTCGGGCTGATTTTGATATTCCAAGTTGCGCCACTGTGCAATAGTCATTCCATGGAAAATAACAACACTAATGTAAGAATCCAACAGGAGGATACGATCTGTACCAATGGAAGCAACATCCAACAATGCAGGTTGAGGTAGTGAATTAAACGAATATGTTGTTAGAGACGGCTGAATCATAACAGCTGCGTTTGAAATATTTTCCCGGTTCAATAGCATGCGGTTGTAGGCGGTTTCGTCTGGACTGTTGTTGAACACCTGCCGATATCACCAGAAGGACATTTTTAGATGGACGGAATAGGTATTACAGAGATGATTTTACTACAGCACCTCATATGTCATACTTACCTGCACAAACTGTGACCGTCGGAGATTAAATGTAAACTGAGGGAATAGTGAAAAGTTTGGATGTAGAGTAAATGAAGCAGGATCATCCTTCCGGTAATCACCAAATTTAGAACAAAGACGAATAAGATTTCGGTCCAGCCATCGCGTAGCATCAAAACCCTCCTGCAAATAAATTATTAAATGGTAATTCATAATTTAATAATCAAAGATAAAGTCTGGATTAACCAATGGTTAAGAGAGTGCCCAATCGAAGAATGAAAATCCTAATATAAATATACGTTTCACATTCCAACATGTAATCCATCTATCTTTTCGTTTTTCCCAAAATGGTATATAAGAATTAGCAAAAATGCAAATCGGCAGAAAGCACCGAGGATTTGGATTCAAGAATCTAATTTTGAAATTGACTCAATATAATAGTCACCTCTGTTTCCATTTTCAAGGAAGCTAATCTGGCCACAACCACAGCAGCAGTTTCTTGATCAAAACCTTGCACCAATTCCTGTAGACACAATACATCACATCAGCATCCATGTCCACAATCCACGTACAAAGAAGAAAAATGTAGGTTACAGTAAAAAGACCATAAGAGTATGTAAAGGCTGGGAAGGTAGCATAATGAAATGTTTGTGCATACGCCATACTCTAGAAATCTCAAGAAACTAGATGAGGCGTAACTTATAAAACTGTTTCTCCAAGTTGATGAAATCCCAGATGTAACTGAAGCAAACTGTCCACACCTACTCAGCCATGCTACCAGGAAACTATGGGAAAATAAGAATAAGATAATTTTTTCCTATCTAGAGACTAGTCAGATAGATCATTTTCCCAATGTAATTGTCACACTGACCATTTATATAGCTTAACAAGTGTTTCTAAGGAAAAAGAATCAAAGACAAAAATACAGAAGCAATAGACCAGGACATAATCGACCATTCTTGGAGAAGAAAACACACCCGAATACAGATTGTATAACCATAATGCAGAAGCAGAATGCAAGAATTTTCAGAACTAACGTGGAAAATGCTAACCTCTGAACTAATAGCAGTATCTACCCAGTGTCTGGTAACAGTAGTAACTCGCTGTAATGTTTTGCCTTCTGGATTTTGGTAGCTGCAATCATATATGTAAGATCAAAATTCTATTATTTGGATGAACATGCACAAACCCAGAATTGCGTGAAGAGGATACCTTGTCATAAATTGTAAATAGAGCTGGTTATTTACACCTCCAGGACTACTTGATTGATCACTAGAAGAAAGATCAAAGAAGACTGTCAAACAAGTACTTTTGTCAAGGCCACACATCTTCCAAGCTGTAGTATTCCCCTCCCCAATAACTGTATCAGCAACGCTTGGGCCTTTCTGCAATTGTTCCAAAAAAGCATCACTGTTAAGCTATCTACCATAATTTAAGACAAAAAAGATAAATTTCGGTATGAATAGCTTCAACCTTTTGCAATGACGTGCAAGGTCCAATAATCCCTTGGATTTTTATGTCCTTTGAACAGATGATCTCAAGTGTACCACTGAAATGGTAAGTTGAAAACAAGTGAGATTGTCACTAACTATATATTCTTTGATGTAATATAAGCGGCAAATACTATGTTAGAAAAACTTGAATTGCATGCATGGAAAAATGAAATAGCAAGAAGAACATTAGCCTGTAGCAACAGCTCACTTGAAACAAAGGCCGAGAGACTGTTCGCCATCTTCAAATACTCGCTTAAAGGAATCCTTGAATACAGAATGGCCAAAACTTTCTGATAAAACAACAAGTCCTCCAGTTCTTTCAACCGCAGCTTTCATTTCAGCAACACCAACCTAACATTTAAACTCAGAAAATAAGATAAATGTCTGAATTGAAGTAGTTTTAAGAGACTTCAATGTCTCTGAGTATAGTTAGAGCACACAGCAAGGAAATTAATAAAAAAAATCTTCTTCTCCTGTCTAGAAAGTTTGTTGCACAAGGTTTGCTCCATAAGATATTATTATTACCTTAACATGATCATAACATACAGGGAAAATCAATTACCTGATCAAGTGCGGATGCAAAAAGGTCCAGTACATGTCCTTGGTTAACCAATTGGTTAGCGAGAGCGTCATAAAATTTCTCTGCTTTCCTATAGAAAGGAGCTGCATCTTTATCAAGATCTTTGTGTGACCGCAAAGGTTCTGAGAGATCCTTTGATACAATCTGCAGAAGCCAGAGGAAGTACTAACTCAAAGGACGAACTTTTGCATCAGCGGCCAAATAATTAAGAAGGAAAATTTCAAGTGTGCTCTTCTCCTAAACACTTTTATTACCACTATACTTGCAAGACAAATGGTCATATAATAAGGAGATGCATAACCCACACGTAGCTCAGAACAAGATGAAAAGAAAATCCATCATAGATCAAGATGACAGCCTAATAGACTTGCAAAATTCAAACTATCTGAACTCATACCTAGTTTCATCTAATGCTCAATCAAATCCGACAACAGAATATAGCATATACATCTCATCTTCTGCTAACTATCATGGCCAACTGTTACCATAACAGTTACAACAGGTTCATAGATGATACTTACACCAGATACTGTCATATTGAAAAGTTCCATAGTTAAGAAGCCAATATTTCCCCCAATTTCCTCAAGCAAATTGTCACAGTAACTATAGAAAGAAGGGGATTAAACAAATGAAGTTACCGTGCCTGGCCCCTCAGAACATGGTCCTCCAATTAAAGCAACGATTCTAGCACCAGTTCCAGGATAACAAGCTCCAAGAAGTCCTGTGGCTACACTCAAAGCCACTCCCGTGCACCGCGACTGACGACGTCCAGCCTGGATAGGCCATTGATCCGTCTGTAACTCATCCAACAGCTACACTCCAAAACAAAACAAAATGTATTTATCATCATGAGCTTTGAAATATCAAAGTCAATCAGAAGAAGAAGAAAAGCTAAAACTTTATTAAACTCCAACCATAATTAAAAGGATAAACTGACCGAATCAATGGTGAATTCACACTCGGACGCTGGCAACAAGAATCTATTAACACCAGAACTGCCGGAATTGTCCCTCCCCATTGGAAACCCACCAGCAGGGGTTCGCCTCCCAGAAGCACCAAGCCCCAACTGCTCCAAAATTTGATCTTTGGAGATCTCCTTATCTCCCCTAAAGACATAAACTTTAGTCAAATCAGAAAACCCCAACTCGTGGACATGCGCCTGCGTCCCAAACGAGACAAACCCAACAAGTGCATTCTCCGGAAGCAATCCGATCGCCTGCTTGAGCGCAGATTTGGCGTATCCAAACTCCTCGTCAATCATGCACGTATCCAAAACAAAAACAAACACCGAGGGCAAAGGCTGGCTGGAAACAGCACCACTCTGATCAAAATTCCCAGCACCAGTAGGGTGAGAAGGGCTAGGCAGAGTGTATTCGACAGTACTGCACTGTTGATACAGCTCACAAGCGAGATTAGTCTCAGACATAACATGGTAGTGAGGAGGGAAGTGATTACGCTGGAAACAAATTGGGCAGATCCAGATCTTGGCAGAGAAATCAACACGAACATAAGGGTTAAGAGCAGCGGTACAAGTGCGACAACGAAGAGGAGCATAATTATTAAATTGAATATCACGGTGGTAACGGATCGGAGAGATACAAGCAGCGACAGGGATCACACACTTGCTTGCTTCAACCTTTGTGCGAGGCCAAACGTTCCACGTCATACGAACTCCATCGATTCCTTCCGGATCAATACTCGCCACCTCTGACATGGTTTCAAGGCTTATAGATCGATTTTAACAATTAGCCGATTTTGGATGGGAAAGTTCGTTCCTTTGGTTCTGAGAATTCAGAAGAATCAAAGCAGAGACGAAACTGTGGGAAAGGATCTATGTGAGATTTTTATGAGGTAGTGTCTTCTCTTACATAAATTGCCTTTTAGGGTTAGTAATATAAAGGAACACTTGATTATTTTGATCTTGGGTTTTTTTTTTTTTTGGCAACTGTTTCATCATCAACTTTAAGTTATCATTGACCAAATCTGCTACTAATAAATAGTTAAATAGTTTTATCTTTAAACAATGCATATTTGTGCTAATTATCCCAAACAAATAGTATGATGTTATAAGAGTTTGAGAAATTTTCCAATCCAAACCTTCTGTCAGAGTAGTTTTTTCGCCATTAGATTTCTCAAAAGATAATTTTATCTGTACTGATCTCATCTCTGGTTAGAACTTAAACGAAATTCGATATTAGACTAACGAAATTCGCATGCTACAAATTTTAAACAGGGATCACAATACATTCGGACAAACGTTATTAATGGTGATATACATACATACATCAAACAAGGTGCCCATTATTTGTAAACTCAATATATACATGAACAACCTAAAACATGAGTCTGAAAGACACGTAGATTAATATAAAATTGCAGTTACTAACGGTATATATTGATTTGTTATATTGCTGACCCTCCTCTGTTTCACACACAACCTCAAAACAGAGTTTTCACAAAAGCCTCAACGTTCTTGTCCGAAGATCCTCCTTCTTCACCCGCTTCAATCGTTAAACGCTTCCATTTCTCTGCGTTTTGCCTCAGCTCCACAGACTTCTCCTCCATCACTGCTTCCAAACACCGCCTTATCTCTCCTCTGTCCACCAAACCTTCCGAGTTCTCTTTCACCCTCACACCTGTCCTCCATGATTCCTCCAGTAGCTTTGCATTCGTCGGCTGATCTGACCACATCGGGAACGCCACCACCGGAACGCCAAGAACCAAACTCTCTAGAGTAGAGTTCCACCCACAATGAGTCACAAAACAACCTACTGATCGGTGTCTTAAAACCTCTATCTGCGAACACCACGACACAATCATCCCAACCTCTTCGAGCTCGTCTCTGAAACCAGCTATCTTCTCAACCTCTATCTCGTCTTCTCCTTCTGTTTTCGTTTCTCTATTAGGTTTATCAGTTATAACCCACAAAAAGGGTCTTCTCCATTCTATAAGCGCGATCGCCAGCTCTGATAATTGTTTCTTCGATAGCTCAACCATTGTCCCAAAAGAAACGTAAATAACAGAGGACTCTGTTTTCGAGTCTAGCCAAAGTGTCAGTGTGTAACTATTTTGATCTTTAACTGACTGCTTAGTGCTTCCTGAGAAAATCTCCGAGGGAAGTAAAGGACCAACCGCCACCATTTCGATATTCTGGAAAGTCGTTAAGGCCTCTGGCTCCAGAGAATCCAAAGTGTTTACCAGAATTTTGGGGTTGGTTTCTTCTATTAGATATTCCATTTGCTCTTGGAACGCAGCGTATGCAACTTTGCTTGGGTTGGAAGGCGTGAGGTAAGAAGGAAGATCGCATATAGCCAGAGATGGAAGATTCGGGAACTCGAAACCGGAGTTGTTTCCGATGAAGTGGTTGTAATAGACGTCGAAAACCAAAGCCGGTTGGATCCAAAGAAGAGCAGAAGGAATGTGAAACCGACCGGCTACCTTTGGAGCCCAGGTTAGAAGAAGCGTGTAGATCAAGAAAGTAACAGGAGAGTCTCCGTTCCGATTAGCTTCGATAAAATCGGACAAAAACTTATCGCCGTTACGTTTGAGGTTTAGCAACCGGTTCTGGACGTCGTCGATGTTGGAGATGACCCCGTCGTCGAAGCCATCGGAGAAGGTAAGAAAAGAGAGATTAGCACGTAGCTTCAGGTCGTCGTGGTTGGCGGAGATGCACGTGACGAAAGTGACACGTGCGTTGGTGGTTCGGATGAGACGGCGGGCGAAGCAGAGAGATGGGTTCACGTGACCTCGCGCAGGAAGTGTTACGAGTAGAACGTGGGGCTGAGACATATCTTGATTGAATAACCAAAACACATGTGTTGGGTTTGGCTTCAATTAATCATGATCCATGACATTTATGCGATGATTTAATCTAATGATTGCCAAAAGTCAAATATATTATTTCAAAAGACCTTAGGTCAATATTTATTCCAAAATATATTTCCTTAATAAATTATTTCAAGTTATCATTTCCTTAATAAATTATTTCATTTATTTTTTATTTTTTTTAGTATGAAGTTGACAAAAAAATAAATTTATACCACCAACAAGAAATTATTTCAAGTTATCATTTTATACCACCAACAAGAGTATATATGTGTATTTTTGATTATTCCAACGCACCAACTACAGAAGAACGGTCAGTACGTTATACATCTTAACCGGATTATGAAATGTGGTTAGTTTGTAGGTCATCTTAATTTTTTACTGTTTAGTTACGTGTTTTAAAAATCTTTGGGTACAAATGTAGTACTTATTAACGAGTGGTCCATAATGAAATGAATGAAATTTGGGAAATAAAAAGTTATATAGAAAGTGAACAAACAAAAAAAGGAAAAGTGGAAAAAGACAAATCTTCCTGCTGCTATAAACGAGTACCTTTGGCTTGGGAAGATTCCAATAGTCTGTCTGTTTCACCAAAAAGGAAAGAGTAAATAAAAACTTGGCTCTGCTATCTTTTTTTAAATGGTGGACTGCGAAAAATTCAGTTTCTTATTCATCAAAACATTATAGGGTTGCTTTTTTTTGTGATCTGATCTTGTATAATAATTAATGTCTCAGCTTCTCTTCCGTCGTCTCTCCAAACTCTCTTCCCGGAACGATGTGCTTGTATGTAAGCTCTCTTTTATTGGTTTCGTTCTGTATCAGTTATGTTCTGTTTTTAAAGGCTTTTCAGGGAACAAGTTTGAGTTTGTCTCTACTGACATCAGATAGATAAGTCGTAAGGATCCGAAGGTGGTTGAGTAGTTTTAGACAAGAGGAGTGTATTTTTACGTTTCTGTTCTGATGTCCGAGTTTAATTGATTGGCAGATACACAAAAGTGTTCGCTTGTTTTCCACCAGCCCGTATTTGACACTTGGCAGCGTTGTTGAAGACTCGCCGGGAGAAGGCGGCGGCTACATCGGAGACATCCTCTTGTTCGATCCGGCCAAGGAAGAGTTAGTCACAGTCCGGGACAAAACAATACCTGAAGAGCTCGTTAACTCGAAATTTATCGGAGCTTCACATGGATGGACATTTTTCTCTGACCGATGCAATCATAACTCTGTACGTATCTGCGACCTATTTAATCCCCTGGCTTCCAAATCAAACACCACGATCATTCCTCTGCCTCTGCTTACTACTATGAGCTATGGCCAAACACAAGTGGTCTGGAACGTGGCAATGTCGTCATCTTCTCCTCACGAAGACAATGAGGAAGAAGTCTGTGTAGTGGCTATCAATTTCTTGGGTTACCAACTGAGTTTGTGCAGGCCCGGTCGCGACCTCGGTTGGACTAACAAACAAATCCCTTTCGTCTGCTCCGAAAAATCAAATCTCATGTACTCAAAGAGAGATCAAAGGTTCTATTTGCCTGCTCCTGGAGGCAACTACTTGTGCTCTTGGGATCTCTACTTCGATAGCGATCCTAAATTCGATGAGTTGGTGTTTCTGAACCTTCCTGAGTTGCCACAGTCCGAGTGGGAGCTGGTGAATTCTTGTTTTAAGGAGGACCACTGGGTGGAGTCACCTTCTGGCCAAAGTTTCTTAATCAAATGGTAACGAGTACTGTAACATATAGACAGATATCTTGGTCAATGCTAACTTGCTCCTATATGCGTGTGCAGGTACTCTCACGTCCCTTCTCAAAGACACAAAGACCCGATACTGATGGTGTTTAGAGAGGATGAAGACACAAAAGACGGAACAAGAAACATGTGTTACACCGAGGACATTGGAGATCTTTGCATCTTCCTTTCAAAGAGTGATCCTTTCTGTGTTGTGGCAAGCTCTTGCCCTGGTCTCAGACCCAACTCCATCTACTTGATGGGCCGTTGCTTTGCTATTTATGATCTCACCACCCGAACCACTCGTCACTTTAACCCTCCAAAAGGTGGACCAGAAAGGGTTCCTTTCCTCCCTTACTGGCTTCCTCCATTTAAATGAGTTCTGGTTCGATTTTAGTTACTCTCGACCTGCTTGGATTGCTATGATTTAGTTTGAGACCATCTTTATGTTCCCTTTTTGACATTATTAATCTGTGGTTCGTCGCACTTATTCTTCTAGCTAGAAATCCCCCCCCCCCCTATCACATTACTATAAGCACAAGTTTATTGTAAAATAAATGAGCTTAACACATATATTGAATAGGGGAAATATGCCCTATACAAGTTTACACCACTTTGACACTGATCAGTTTCATGAATACAAAGATATATATGTTAATCTATACATGTTCACATCTGGTTAATTAGAGTTTGATTTACAAATCAATATGTGGTGTAACGAGTGTAACATAATAAATATGAACAATAAACATAGTTGTTTTTGTGGATAATTCTGAAGAACTGGTTTGGGATGTTATAACATAAAATTGAAATTAAAACAACGAAAATAATGGTTAGATGCTAAAATCCAAACTGGTACGTGGAGAGAAACTGAAAGGGTTTAACCAAAGAGCGCCGTAGTATGACTAGATAGAAAATGGAGGTAGCCAGTAAGGGGCGGTGAGAACGGTGGGTGTATCCTTGGGAGCTTTATAATGATGTACCTCTCCTGTAGTAAGATCATAAATACCGAAGCCACGTCCCATAAAATAGATGGAGTTAGGCTTGAGGCCAGGACATGTGCTAGCCGAGATGCAGAAAGCCTCGTTTTTTGCAAGGAAAATGCACATTTCTCCAATGTCCTCTGTGTAACACATGATTCTTCCCCTCATCGTCTCCTCCTCTCTAAACACCATCAACCTCTTTGTTCTGAAGTAAATTCCTTTTAACACCGACGAGAAGAAGCCATGCGCGTACCTATACGTATGCAATCACAATTATTTTCAGTATTTTTATTTTTTTTGTCACACTACCATAATAACTAATAAATAATGAGTGTACATGTAAATTTAACACCATTTGACTAGGAAACGTTCACCACTAGAGGGTGACTCCACAAAGTATTTCTAGGTCATATTTGCATTATCGTGTAATATGTTTTCATTATTATTATCTTCTTAATAGAAATTTACAGTAGGGCCGAAAGAAAGCCCAACAAGTATAAAAAAGGAAATGGCCCAATACCAGAAAACTGGTTCGTCTGAGACCTACCTAATCGGAAGAAGAACGGAGGTACAGTACAGAGTAGTTGAATCGAACAAGCTTTGCTTGGAGAAGCCTCAAAAGTGATTCAGTCAAACATGTTTAAATGAATTGATATACAAAGTGTTACCCGATAATACAGTATATGGCCACTTCTAGATACCAACTTTTGTCTTTTACTTTAACCTCCTCTGCTTGGAGAGCCTCTACAAATCTCCTCCACAAAAGCCTCAACGTTCTTATCCGAAGAGCCTCCTTCTCCACCCGCTTCAATCGCCAAACGCTTCCACTTCTCTGCGTTCTCCCTCAGTTCATCTGACTTCTCCTCCATCACTGCTTCCAAACACCTCCTTATCTCTCCGCTTTCCACTACACCTTCCGAGTTCTCTCTTACCCTCACACCCGTCCTCCATGATTCATCCAGAAGCTTTGCGTTCGTCGGCTGATCTGACCACATCGGAAACGCCACCACCGGAACGCCAAGAACCAAACTCTCCAGAGTAGAGTTCCATCCACAATGAGTCACGAAACAGCCTACGGCTCGGTGTCTTAAAACCTCTACCTGCGAACACCACGACACAATCATCCCAACCTTTTCGAGCTCGTCTCTGAAACCAGCTATCTTTTCAACCTCTGTCTCGTCTTCACCTTCTGTTTTGGCTTGTCTGTTGGGTTTCTCAGTTATAACCCACAAGAACGGTCGTTTCCCTTCTATGAGTGCTCTCGCCAGCTCCTCTATCTGTTTCTTGGACAGCTCAACCATTGTTCCAAAAGAAACGTAAATAACAGAGGACTCTGTTTTCGAGTCTAGCCAAAGTGTATAATCACTACTAGTACCTTGATCTTTAACTGGCTGCTTGGTGCTTCCTGAGAACATCTCCGTGGGAAGTAAAGGACCAACTGCCACCATTTGGATGTGCGGGTAAGCCGTTAAGGCCTCTGGCTCCAGCGAATCGAAAGTGTTGATGAGAACTTTTGGGTTGGTTTCTTCTTTGAGAAACTCCATCATTTCTTGAAACGCTGCGTATGCTGATATGTGTGTGTTGGAAGGTGTGAGGAAAGAAGGAAGATCTCGGACCTCCAGAGAAGAAAGATTCGGTAACTCGAAAGCGGACTTGTTTCCCGTGAAGTAATTGTAGTAGATGTCGAAAACCAAAGCGGGTTGGATCCAGAGAAGAGCACAAGGAAGTTGAAACCTACGTGCTACTTTTGGAGCCCAATTGAGAAGAATCGTGTAGATCAAGCAAGTCACCGGAGAGTCACCATTCCGACTAGCTTTGATGAAATCAGATAGAGCCTTATCACCGTTTACCTTGAGATTCACCGACCGCTTCTGACTGTCTTCTGACGTTGAAATGCCTCCGTCGTCGAAACCGTCGGAGAAAGTAAGGAAAGAGAGATTTTCGACGTTGTTGTGGTTTGACATCATAGAGCGTTGGAAGAAGGAGAGACAAGTGACGAAAGTAACACGTGCGCCGGTTTTCTTGATAAGCCGACGAGCAAAATGGAGAGATGGGTTCACGTGACCTTGTGCCGGAAACGTTACCAGTAGAAAATGCGGTGGCGCCATCGCTTTATTTTTATTTTTATTTTCTTTTAAGTTGCTTTTCTTAAGCGAGTCCAATACAAGATGTCAAGAATCTGTGTCTGCTTATAGATTTGTGCTTTCATATATATATATGTGAATATGTGATATAGATGAGCAATTGGATTTTGATGTCCGCACATGCATGCGTATTCATCAAACATACGCAAAACTGTGCAAGGTTACTTGTGACGTCTGTGGTGACGCTCACTAGATAAACGCTTCCTAGTATAAATCCAAACTTGCGTTTTGCTTTTTTGCAGGTTTGACGTTTACATGTCAATGACAAATGAACATGCAAACGAATTTATAACCAAAATTAAACATACACAATTTTTTCTTTCACATAACAGTATATTAATTTTTTTAGAGGTGTTCTTTGCGTTTGATAATTTAGCAACAAATAATTGAGAGACCAGTCATGTCTCTACCCTCTAATCAAGATGACATGGACAGGCAATAAAATCTCCTATGTAGAAAAGTTCAAGTGATATACTTTTTCTCAGTCGTTTAGAATGAATGACCAAAGTTTCTTCGTCTTTCGTATGCAAAAGATACATCTCGCTTTCTATTATAATGAATTGCGAACTTATGGAAAAATAGTTGATGTTTATGAAAGTTATAGGGTTTCTAACTTCTAACTGTAAATTACTTGGAAAGCAAACAATAACAACAGATCAACAAATGATATCTACACATACGCCATTTACATGTGTATATGTAATATGTTACTCCTTGTTTTTTGAAGACCGGTCTTTTCTTTGACCACCAAGAATACGAGATATTTGCAGACCTCTACTGAAGGCTTGGTTAAAGAGCATTCTTGTTTGAAACTCAGACACGAAAGGGAACCAAGCCAAAAACGCTACTGGTGTGAACAGAAGCAACCCCATCAAGATTTCGTAGCCTCGAGCTAGCGTCCTAACCGATGACCATATCCCTAGCTGATGGATCAGAGGCTTACAAGCTTGTGCGATCTGATGATGAGAAAAACAGATCTCATGTCACAGAACCAGACGATACTTGGAAATCTTAAGAGAAATAAAAAAGAGAGGAGTCTGATAATGGTGGAGAAAGACTTACGAGAAGCATTCCCCATCCGGTTGGCATGAAGGCAAGCATGCAGAGGAATAAGTCTTTGATTGTTATCAGAGGAAGTGCCAGGAAAGTTATTAGAATTGCTACAAATGTGAGGAACACAAGACCCTTTATGATTCTGAACAGAAGCTGGAAGTTCGTGCTGAATCTTCGCCTTCCAACGCCCAAACCCTGCAATGATAGTTATATAGAAGAAATCAACAGTATGTTTAGAATCTGGAACAGAAAAGTATATGGTGAATCTGCGTGTAAAGGTTCATACCTTCACTATCAGTAGAATGAACAAGATCACAAACCATGACGCTCCATAAACCTGAAAACAGAGTCATTATCGTTCAACAATCAAGGGATTCACCCATTTGCAGGGAAGTAGTTATCAGCCTAGCTTACCCAAAAGCTTTGATTTTTCCCTTTAAAGGTACTGAGATGATACACAAGCCCGTACTGAAAGATGAAGAAGCGCAAGGCCAAAAAGATCTCAAGGATGATACCACGGATCCCCGAGTGTCTAAGATGCTCTAATTCTTTCTCCCACCATGACTCCCAACTCTTCTCAGGAGGGACACCGATTCCTCCTCGGTTATATATCCATTTGTTCCAGTCTGTCCAGTCGTCAACAATCTTTTGCCACTCGAAACCAGACGGATTGAAAAGGAAAGGAGCAAAAAGCCATGTCACCACCATGAACCATATGGAAACAGTGATCAGAATATAAGTAACCACACCCCTATATGATTGACCAAATATCTGATACACGAGCAGGAGAATCATTAGCTCAATTCCCTTCACAAAGTGACTACGGGAATAGAACCTATAATTCTCAGCAAATTTTGCATGGAAGACCACAAACCCGCGACCAGTTCCTCTGTATTCCGCGCCTCCATGAAACAGCGTTCTTCCATAGTAATGTGTTTTTGTTCCGAGCTGAAACGTGAAAAAGACTGAAGCAAGTTGTAACTGCATCAACACAAACTCGATCAATGCGTTATGGAATCCCCTCTCAAGTCCAATTTCCATCATCATAGGCAAAGCCATCAAAAAACCAATCTGCACAAATGATTGAGAAGCAAGAGCTGCTTCAAGAGGCTTGTTGTTACGAAAAGCTCGTTGGTTGCTCAACCCTTCTTCAAGCCCACTAAGTACTAAATATAGCCGGCCGTAAAGAAATACATACACCGTAAGCACGGTTAACTGTCAAAAACACAGATAAGGGCTTCAAACTTGAGAAAGAAAAACAAATCTGCCATGTATCTATCTAGTGATTTCACAGATAAAAAGGGTAAATCTCAACCTACCATGGTACTGAAGTAGAACCCAATTGTGGTGAAATAACAAGACAGCATCCGGAAGAAATCAAATCGGTGTCCCAGTCTATACAGATCGCGACTCAAAGTTTGCTCGCCGTTTCCATTAGCGATTTTTGCCTCAAACATTGAGATCTGGTTGAGACCCACATCTCTTCCTTTACCAACTTGTATATATTCATGATGAGTCACATTTCCTTCACGCAGAGTCGAATTAAAACCTGAAAGTAATAGAAAGGTATGAGAAAATGAGAATTATAAGAAGTAAGTAGATCATGTGTCACCAGAGAAGAGGAGATCAAGCCAGTGCCTGCAAATATGTCTTCACTAAGATTGATGACTTTAGAAGCCTTGCAGATACCACCTCTAGTAAGGTGAAACAGCCGATCAAAAATATCTGGATGACCGTAATGGAATCGTACTCTGGAGCAGCACAGATAGAACACATTAAATTTGACAACCACAATATTAAAATTTCCACTCAGAAGATTTCAGAACAGGGAAAAAGCTTACTTCAAGGGACTAGCTAGCACCCTTTGCCCAATCGTGACAAAGCTGTTCTCTTGATTTGACATAAACCATGCAAGAGAAGACACACTTCACAAGAAACCACAAACGTAGGAGATCAATAAGTGCACTAAAACTAAAAATCTCGAAGACAGGAATAGGATCATACTATTAGTACCTTCCTGTGAAAATATGTTCTCGAAGACCAAGAATCGTAGGACATCTTACGCCTCCATGCTTTACAAGAAACTCTTGCAGCAAGTTCCTCATTTTGAAAGCTTCCTCCATGTAGTTATCCTATTTGTCAAATTTGTAGAGGTTTAGAGTCTCCTAAGGTGATCATTCTTTTAATTGATCATAAGCATATATGAGATTCATTAACACATCCTTGACAAAAGAAAAATATCCAATTCACCTGGTTCATGTCTATTGTCTGCAACCCTTCTCCGCGTGTAAAAATGATAGCATGGTTTTGATTTTCAGGTTTTCCCTCTCCTAGTATAGCTGGTCCCGGAAGCTTAATCCGATAAATGAGCTGACAGAAAATAAATATAAACTCAGACTCCAGAAAATAGAACAGCAGCATCAATATCCTCTGACCTCAATACCTCATTTCATCGGGTTAACCCATTTAAGTATTTTTCTCGTTATACCTGATCTAGTGTTTGAACAGATTCAGAAGAATCCATTGGTTTGGTCTGTGGAGCAGCTTTCACAAGAGCTGAGTAATAAATTTTCTCCTCTGTCCCCTTATAACTTTCTTTATGTGTTTGCTCCACCTCATCAATATAGGCAACACGAATAGACGGATACCTGCCATAAGGAAATAACAAGCTTAACGAATGAGGCTAAGATATTAATAACTAAAAAAAGGTGGAGATCAAAGATGACGAATGAAGACATACGTTGTCATGAGTCTCAATATGTCTTTAGCGCGTTGGTCGCCAGATCTCTTATGAATACTGTATTGTTGACAAGAAACCACAAAGGTGAACTTCATATCCGCAAGTGCTTGACACTGTGCCCAGAGTGACCCTCCGCTCTTTGATGCTTCTTCGCTGGTTAACTCAAGAGCCTTGTAGCCTTTCAATAGTTCTAGAACAAAAACGATGGTAGTTTAAAGAATGCTTTCAAACTTATTAAGAATCAAAAGGAATCACAGGAAAGGATTTTCAAGCACCTTCATCCTTTGCCATATCAAGGAAGGCCTGAAGTTCCAAAGCCTTTCGGTAATACATCATGCCTCGCACTAGTTGAAACAAGTCAAAAATCAGGCACTTATCAAAAGATAAATTCGTCAAGATAGAAAAATGAAGCAGATTTCATCCCATGAAAGATTAAGAGAGGAGGCTAAAGTCTATATACCAGTTTTAGTCAGAGTTTGGCCTCTGTAAGATGCCCAGAGACGAAGCTCCTCTTCCAAATCCTCTCTTGTTCTTAGTTCTTCTTCGTTGCCACATTTAACTCGTTCCAGAAAATTTGTCCATTCATCTGATGTAAGCCATGGACTCAGCTGATAGCTCAAACAAGATAACAGCGCCATATGAAAAGTTTTAAACAGATGGAATAGTGAAACCTGGGAAGATCTTCTGCAAGTAAAAGAGTATAGAGACTCCATCTTCATTTTGCTTTTCTAAGCCAAATATGGAGAAAAGAACATCCTCTGAAAAATATGGTGTCAGGACCCTATGAAGAACCAAATTGGGAGATGTTAAGCAGGCATGTGAAAGTCAATGGAAAATGCATCCAAGATGAAGGTGAAAAAGGTAGCCATAAATTAATTTTAAAGTGACTGGAACCTACGAGAAGGAAAGCATGTTACGGATCTTGGGTGCAGCAGGCATGTCCATGAATAATGAATTCGAAAAGAATGTAAGACGCCTCCGAGCTTCCAAGTTGGACGGAACATCCATAGCTGACTCCTTGACAGTAAGCAAAAGATGAAGCCTCTTAATCTGCAAAAGAACAAAAACGGAGAAAAAAGGACAAACCACTTAGACGGCCCTCATGCCACAGAGATCAAAATGCACCATTGTAGTGTAAAAAAGAATGATATAAATGGAATCATTTTTAAAGGACGAGACTTGCTTTTTCTTTCCAAGCTTCTGTTTGAGAGTAAACTGGGAACCGAAGTTGGCTGAAATATTTGCGTTGTTGATGAAGA